GCAAACTTCGTCATTTGTGATGTGGCCTCTGTAATAATATCAAGAAAAGATATAAAAACCGAACCAAAAGTAAATAAGAAAGCTTCATAATATGAAGAACACTCCTCTGTAATAATAGTAATATATACACATTTTTTTAAAAGATAAAAGATGTCTGTATTCATCATCATGTATCAGGTCCTTTGCAGAACGTCGTTCTCATCACGGTCTGCCTGAAAGAAACTCTGTCTCTCCCCAGCTCTCCCGCCTCATATACTTTCATACTCAAGGGGTCACTTATATCCTGTGCCCATCTTCGTGTCGGTCGGCCCCTGCCCCTCCTTTCTATTACCATGTCTTCTGCTGTAATTTTTTTTCCCAATCCGCCGTGGCGCTTGATGTGACTCAAATATTTCAGATATTGAGACATGATGCTGTTCGTTAGCAATTCTTCCTTTATGTTCGGATCTTTCAAGATATCAGTATTTCTCCTCTTCTTTGTCCAAGATATTCTGAGAATCTTTCTATAGCATTTTAGCTCAAAAGCTCCTATTCTCTTTCTTAAGGACTGGGAGATGGTAAACAACTCACATCCGTGTGTTGCTACAGGGAAGATGCATGCTTTCAATCTAATTTTGATCTCCTTGCTGGTGCTTAACCATACCTTTTAATACTGTTTAATGCCTGTTCTGCTGTATGGCGGCGAATCTTGGAATGTCACTGGACAAATTAAGAAGAATTTTAAAGCAACAGAGATGTGGTTTCTGAGACGAATGTTACGAATACCTTGGACGGCCAGAGTAACTAACAACGATTGCTTGAAAGAAGCTAATGAAAGTAGATCTCTGTATACAACAATAAGAAAGAGACAAACTTTGTTCTTTGGCCACATAATGAGAAGAGAGACATCAAAGAACATCGTGACAACTGGAAAGATCAGTGGAAAAAGAGATAGAGCCAGACTAATAGAAATGATGCTGGATGGGCTGAGACGATGACATGGAGGGATATCATCAAGAAAGCTGTTCCAGTCAATCAGGAATCGTGATCAGCGGAGACGCATGAGCGCCTACGCCAGTTGGCAGGGCACAGGATGATGATGAATGCCGGTAGTCAAAGTGTGGTAAAAGGTGCCAGTACTCAACACTAAGAAGGCTTATTACTGCGGACCATTGCGTAACGCATGGAAAAAGCCTTGTTAATATTATTAATGATAACGAAAGCAATGATGATAATGTTGAAGAGGTTGATTATGATTATCACAAAATAAATTATGAACAATTATTACTCTGACGGAAGCGAGCTCTGACAAGGGAGGGTACTGCAGTTAATCAACTATGAAAGCTTATTGATTGAACGAGGAAGTGAAACAATAACAAACTTGCCAACTAGTTGCCGCTAACATGTTCTTTGGGTCTTCGTTTTGGTTTGAAATTATGCGAAGAATCCATTAAATCAATTGGTTGGTAAAAATTTCGTCAGTTGTAATTTTATTTGTTATGATTAATATGGCAGTCGGCCTGTTTTTCTAATAAAGTATAAAGTATAAAATAAAGGACCAGTATTAATAGTAATAATAACTAATACTAATAATAAATATAATGACTAATGTTAAATGTAGTGTATGTGTCGTTACTCTCTCTCTCTCTCTCTCTCTCTCTCTCTCTCTCTCTCTCTCTCTCTCTCTCTCTAGACTCTAGTCGGTGAATGACTGAGTTGTGTTCATTTCATTGTCAGTGAGCTGATCTGGAAGTCGAGTGTTACTTCTTTTCAGTAACTTACAAGGTCAGCATCCGCCCCATAAGATACTCCTGTTAAGTGTTAAGTTGTGTGGGATTTACATTCCAAGCCATGAATGATGATATACATATGAATTGAGTAAAAGTAATTTACTATTTAGTAGGATTCAGTTGTCATTTCATTAGGATTACTAGTATTATTCATTAACCTCTATCTTCACATTTTGCTTACAAGAGACCAGACTATTCTGGAAATCATCTGATGTCGATTATGTTAAGGTTGGGTCTACCCCAAAGCTGTTTACAGCATCAGAAGACCAGGCCCAAGAGGTTATACATTTTATAGTAAAAAAAAATATCACTGTAGATTCCAGGGTGCGTTGTAAGAGAAGAAAAAAGAGGCTTACTGCCCTCTACAAGCAAGTCATAACAGGTGACTAATTATGGCGGCTTCCTTTGAAGTAAGAGTGCATCTGCCTGAGAGGCAAGGAACCAACAGTCTGCATACAAATAAGCCTGATCTGTAAAATGAATGTGCAGGCAGAACTCAAGTTTTAAAAACAAGACGACGGTCCAGAAGTGAACCTACAGGTGAAATGCACTTTCTCTGCGAGGTCACTAACAACACAAGAAGGGACAGAGTTAGAAATACCAGCAATAGGGAAAGTTGGCATAAGACAGTTTCTAAATTTTTTATCCCTATTTAGAAAAAAAATACTTCCAGACTAAACCGTGTGGAAAAATCCAGAGCTTGAATGCCTAAGGCTCCAGCAATTCCTACAACATCTTTGGTGTCAAACTGTATTGGCACACCCTTCTTTTGGCATTACCAACAATGTAGAGAGGCGATACCTGCTGCCTGGGGAACAGTCTGTACTCCCTATCAACTTGCCCAGGCCTCTGCCCTGGAGAAAAAAAAAGACAATACCTTCAGGTTTAAATAGAGTGCAGCTTTCACTTCCCTCTGTTTAAACCTGAAGATTTCAAGCTGGTAAATCCCTTTTTGGGTTCCAAGCCCCATTGTTTGTAGGGGGGGGGGGGGGACAGATAGACCCACTACAAGTTAACAATTATGAATTAATCAAGTAACAGAAAGTGTATTGATCGGCACTCATAGAAAAAAGTAGAATGATAGAAGAACACACTAGACAACATAAAAATCAAAAGCTATAGTTACCGTGCCGGGAATTGAACCTGTCACCACCAGACGGCGTCTGCACCTTGCCATGGATATAAGTGCACTAAGAACATGGTCAAATAGGCACCCCCAGTTAACAAGCATGTTGTTGAAGAGATTAATTATTGGTGTGCTGAAATAGAAAGTATTTGGATGAACAGGAGGGCAGCCTAGCTGTAAACTACAACATGTCAGCAGCCGTTTTTTTGTGGGGAAAGGGGGGGGGGGGTGGTGGCAAATACAGAAGAAAAGAAAAAAAGTAAGTAAAGATAACATATAGTGAAAAGTACAGTAAATGAAACAAAAAAGAAACTATTACAATTTTTTTTTTTAATAAATACTGTTTGGAAGTTAAAGTTTTTGGAGACCCCTGGAGATTATCAATTTAGTTTCAGAATTAATGTTTTGTGCGACACTGTTGCAATTAATGTTTTGTGCGACACTGTTGCAATTAATGTTTTGTGCGACACTGTTGCAATTAATGTTTTGTGTGACATTGTTGCAATTAATGTTTTGTGTGACACTGTTGCAATTAATGTTTTGTGTGACACTGTTGCAATTAATGTTTTGTGTGACACTGTTGCAATTAATGTTTTGTGTGACAATACTGCAATTAATGTTTTGTGTGACACTGTTGCAATTAATGTTGTGTGTGACACTGTTGCAATGAATGTTTTGTGTGACACTGTTGCAATTAATATTTTGTGTGACAATACTGCAATTAATGTTTTGTGTGACACTGTTGCAATTAATGTTTTGTGCAACACTGTTGCTATTAATGTTTTGTGTGACACTGTTGCAATTAATGTTTTGTGTGACACTGTTGCAATTAATGTTTTGTGTGACACTGTTGCAATTAATGTTTTGTGTGACAATACTGCAATTAATGTTTTGTGTGACACTGTTGCAATTAATGTTGTATGTGACACTGTTGCAATTAATGTTTTGTGTGACACTGTTGCAATTAATATTTTGTGTGACAATACTGCAATTAATGTTTTGTGTGACACTGTTGCAATTAATGTTTTGTGTGACACTGTTGCAATTAATGTTTTGTGTGACACTGTTGCAATTAATGTTTTGTGTGACAATACTGCAATTAATGTTTTGTGTGACACTGTTGCAATTAATGTTTTGTGCGACACTGTTGCTATTAATGTTTTGTGTGACACTGTTGCAATTAATGTTTTGTGTGACACTGTTGCAATTAATGTTTTGTGTGACACTGTTGCAATTAATGTTTTGTGTGACACTGTTGCTATTAATGTTTTGTGTGACACTGTTGCAATTAATGTTTTGTGTGACACTGTTGCAATTAATGTTTTGTGTGACACTGTTGCAATTAATGTTTTGTGTGACACTGTTGCAATGAATGTTTTGTGTGACACTGTTGCAATTAATGTTTTGTGTGACACTGTTGCAATTAATGTTTTGTGTGACACTGTTGCAATTAATGTTTTGTGTGACACTGTTGCAGGTGACCAACTGCTCTGCGGAGACAAGCCAAGCAATACGGGGTCAAATCTGGTGCAGTGAAGTTGATCCTCTCACTTTTAAACAACTTGTAATGACCCCCCCCAGAGCAAACATTTGCATTGCACATGTGTTTTTAAAATATGACACATTTTTTACTTCTTAAGGATAAAGTAAAAGTAAAGGACGCCTTTTCACATCTTCAGGGATATTATCCATATAGTGCGAGGCCTATATTGTCTAGACCAGTCGACACTCTGTTTGTGATGTGGTCAACATTGCACAGGCCACCTTGACTTCCTAGGACTTTACCTGGTACCAATTTAAGGCTGGGTCAATCTTACGGATAAAGACAATTAATTTCGGATGGAGGGGAAAAAAATTTTTTTGCTTCAAGCTCTGAAAGTTCACTTTGTGAGTGATATTTTTTTGGAGATCCTCAGGGATCATGTTTTATTTGATGTTCTCGGCAGGCATCTAGCCATTTTTCAGAGAGGCATCGAGCCAGATTAATTAAAATCCAGTGGTGGTTGATCCTCCTGACTTTAATTTTGGATTTAACAATGTATTCCATTCATCCACAGACAACCTGTTTGTTTCGATGATTGACCTATCATCTCGTAAGTGAAACCATGTCAGAGAAGGCTGGTAGCAAGCAGGAACAACTCGATGGGGTTTTCTCCAAAGGCGGTATCAACATAGCTCTTCAGAAGGACAGGGAGAAATGTGAAGCTGAGGATCTGAGTAACATGTGGTATCATGGCAAGATGTCCCGTAGCAGCGCTGAAAAAATTTTGAATGAGGGTAAGTCTGTTAAGGTGAATGTCTGAACTGACCACTCCCCCACCTTATGATACCTTAATCCTCCCCATCTGGGTTCCGGGACCCCAATAATGGGGGTAAAATGTTTCATGACAGGCTAGATGTTATCGAGGCCCTTTTAGTTAGAGGTAGAATTGTGAAGTGAGATTATGGTGCTTTTGCCTTGACTACGAGAGGTCTGACTATGGAGGTCATGACAGCGACCAGAGCAGTAACATGGCTAGGATCATAAACTTTCACCCATGCATGTTTTCTTAGTGACTCAGTATACTAAGAAAGTTAAAAATGGGCTGAGTCTGAAGACAGTGGTTCGAGTATCTAGGGCAGTCAGGGCTGATACATATTCATTTAATATGTATTTTTATCAGTTGTGTATTATTATCAGTTGTGTATTATTATTAGATGTGTATTATTCACCCAGTTGTTCCCATTTTTGCAAGTCAGCCTTGATGGAATAAATAACATGTAACTTTTTGATGTATTTTAGCAATGAGGTTACATCCAGATACAAACTGTGATGGGATGTTTCTGGTTCGTGACAGTACAGCCTCTGAGGTTAATTTCTCACTGTCATTTATCTTTGAGCGGCGCAACTACCACTTCTACATTCAGCGAACAAAAGAGTGCTACTACTGTATAGATGGTGGACCAATTGTTCATGGTAAACATTTGTTTTTTTAATGGATTCTTATTTTTGTTTATTACCTTTACTTCCAACTGTTTGAAATTTTACCAACTTTTTTCTTTTCTTCAATATTCATCCTTTGAAGGATGGCATGTTGTGTAATGGATAACAGCCAGATATGTACCAAGGATGCACATGCAAAACTCAGGTTCTGGAACAAGGCTTCAAGAGGTAGAACAAACAGAACTTTTTGCCTGAGTATTGTGCTGGTGAATGCTAGGAAGAAGAAATAACATTAATTCTGTCTAATTCATTAGACCAAAGTGTGGTATACCATGTTTTACTTGTTAGTTTACCATAAATCAAATTTTGTGAATGTATTCTTAAGAAGTCAAAATTGTTTTCCTTGTTTTTGTTTTTTTTCTGTATTCCACCTCAGGGAATACATCATAAAGTTTTGACACAGTGACTCAAAGTGTTGTATTTCAGATGCCATTCCAACAGAAACAAATCCCATAAAAATCATTTAACTGCGAAAGACGTATATTATATTAAGACACTCTATAGCCACACAAAGTACCCCCCTCCCCCAACCCATAATGTGTGGGGATGTAAACAGGAGTGACTGCCATCGCTCTGTAAATAAAAACTAAATACTATGCAAACTGAACAGAGAGCTCAATGGAGGGGATGGAAAGTTGTAGTTTGTGTTGTTATTAGTACTCTTTTGATAAAGACTGGTTGAAATGTTCAGTTGTTTGTGCAAATCTTTTCTATTCTCTTCATTGAGCTGTTAGTGACACTCTGTATTGGAAAAAGACTGGTTGAAATGTTCAGTTGTTTGTGCAAATCTTTTCTATTCTCTTCATTGAGCTGTTAGTGACACTCTGTATTGGAAAAAGACTGGTTGAAATGTTCAGTTGTTTGTGCAAATCTTTTCTATTCTCTTCATTGAGCTGTTAGTGACACTCTGTATTGGAAAAAGACTGGTTGAAATGTTCAGTTGTTTGTGCAAATCTTTTCTATTCTCTTCATTGAGCTGTTAGTGACACTCTGTATTGGAAAAAGACTGGTTGAAATGTTCAGTTGTTTGTGCAAATCTTTTCTATTCTCTTCATTGAGCTGTTAGTGACACTCTGTATTGGAAAAAGACTGGTTGAAATGTTCAGTTGTTTGTGCAAATCTTTTCTATTCTCTTCATTGAGCTGTTAGTGACACTATGTATTGTATTTACTATGTCGCTGCTGGGCGAGATCAATGCTTCTATGATGACAGGGCTGTTGATGTAGTACCTCTCATCTAGGTTTGAATGAAAGATTTATGTACTGTCAGTGTCAGTGTCTATTTACTTTTCTTGCTCAGGACTGGACATGTTAATACAGCATTACATCCAAGAAGCAGACAGACTTCCTACAGCTCTAACTAAGATTTGTAAAGGCCGTCTTCCACCACCCAAAGTCCGTAAATATGGACCTACAAACCTCTTACACAGAGCAGTTAAAGAAGGTATGTGGTAGCAATGAATAGTTGTGTAACTGTGTTTATTTAAACAATATCTTTTGTTCTAAAGCTAACAGTGAACTCATGTATAAAGTTGTTACCTTCGAATGCAGGCTTGATGCTCTGAATGGGCTTGCTACATGATTCTATATTGTCTGTAATCTGCCATGAACATGTGCAATTTTGGAGTTTTTTCATTGAGATGAGACCATATTGGCAGTTCTCTTACCATTGATTGCTGGCAATTCTCTCTCTTCCCATTGATTGCATGGTTATATCTCTAATGCGTAGTTGACTAGTTCAGTGTCCCATAAGCTGACATCTTCCAGCTTCAGCGGTTGAAGTTCATTTTCAGGATTCTTAAAACGTATTTGCTGTAGAAAATTCAGAGAATCACCAGCATTGCATTGAAACAGGACATAGATGGGTTTAGGAAATGAGGGCATCTGAAAAGGGAAACTTAAAAATGGAAGGCTTATGTTGTGTTCACTTCTCCATGGAGTTTCTACTAGCAGCAGGTGAAGACCAAGATGAGAATGGAACTTTATTTCACTCTCCTGGGCGAAGCCAGGCCATTAAATCTAGATACTCTGTAAATTTTATCATGGGGTTTCTGTTACTTGGTTACATTCTTCAGCTGCTTCAACTAACTAAGAGAAGAAACTCATCTAGAATGTAGTTTAGGAAAAAAGATGTATTATGCACTGCAGCATTTGCTAAAATTGAATGCTCTGTCTTATGACAACACGATCACCTTATACAAAACACTAATACTTGTTGTCTTATATAGCTCTAGGTCGACCCAGCCTTGAGTGGGTGCAGTCCCGAGAAGTTAAGGCGGCCGGCATGATGCTGATATCACCCATCTTGTGCCGATTGGTCTATACAAATATAGGTCTTGCCCTATATACCTTAACTCTTTGAGTCCCAAGGAATGCATCATACATTCATAGGTTACTGCCTAGAAGCTCATTGAACGCATGATGCGCCGATTTTAGTCTCTTTTGACTACCCCTTGGGCCTGTGATGCTAAACCCTGTGGGACTCAAAGAGTTAAAGCGTGGAAAAAGTGACCTTCACCTACTTATATGGCTCTGACATCTGGAGCACATCAGGAAAAATAAATGAAACATTACAAATGTTATAAAACAGTATTACAGTGAATCGTTTAGACCCATCAAAGTTGCAAACAGCTGGGAATGTAGAGAACAGTGAAGTTCAGAATCTAATTAAATCACCATTGATCATAGGCATTATGAGGTACTAGTAGATTTGAATGGCTTGACCAAATAGAGAGAGCTGCAGGTGACAAAGAATCAAACATGCTGAACACAGGTAGGTTCCTCATGAGGAAGATTGGTGGAGAGATAATATCTGAGCAGACCTGCAAACACTTGGAATCAACAGTTTAAAGAAAAGGCTGATCACATAAATGAGATAAATGAAAGCAGGTGGTATTTGCAACAGTCTACTTCATGGGCTCATAATACAGAGGAAAGAGAAACAGAAGTATCAAATTGTTCACTATAGTCTGGTTCCACACATTGAAATTTAACTAGTTCCACACCAAACAACTCACCATGAGTTTATTGGTTTAACATGGCGTGATCTACATTTCTGCACCTGGAACATACCCAGTTGTTTTACTTTAACCCCTTCCTGCTAATGGTGCTATTATTTTAACTCCATCAGAGGCACACCTTGATTATTTAAAGTAACAAACATGTGGTAGGAAGCGACTAATTGTGTTTCCTTTAAAGTCAGAGTGCATCTGCTTGAGAGGCAAGCAAAGAACCAACTATCTGCATACATATAAGCCAGATCTGTAAAACAGATGTGCATGCAAAAACTAAGCTTCTGGAACAACAGCAAAGGCTGGAGCTTACATCCGGTGAATGGGAAGAAGAAGAAGAAGAATACAGGTGAAGTATCAGTCTCTTAGAGTAGAGCACAGAGAAGTAAAACCTTTGAGGTACTAAAGTTAATGTTGCTGTTTTTTTTTTTTTTTAAATTACAGGTAAAACAGAATTGGTGAAACAGATCTTAAACCATCCTCTGTGTCCTGATGTCAATGCCAAAAATGACACAGGTATGTCATGTTGCTGCACCTGCTTGCTCTAGGTCTGTTGTGATTGTTAATGGATCCCTATGTGGGTTCCAGGGCCTAATTATGAGGGGGGGGGGGGGGGGGGAAGGGTTGGGGATAGAATAGACCCACTGGTTCTCTAACAAGCATGTCGTAAGAGTCAACTATTTAGGGCAGTGTTTCCCAACCTTTTCTTGGTGGCAACGCCTTTTTTTCAATAAAAATTTTGCCACGACGCCCTAACCTAAGTAAAAGTATGACTATTTGTGTCTTGATTAAATTAATTATAAACCTTTTGCAACATTGCGCGACACTCCTGTGAAGAGGTTGCGGCTCCCCGGGGTGCCGCAGCGCACAGTTTGGGAATCACTGATTGAGGGTTTTCCTTCAAAGCCAGAGTTCATCTACCTGAATCAAGGAACCAATAGTCCACATACAAATAAACCAGATCTATCAAATGGATGTGCAAAGTTCTTTAAAAACACCAAAGTCCAGAATTTGACAAACAGCCAGAATTCAGAGTTTAAGCTAGTGAAGGCAAGTAAAGAAGAATTCTAAATGGCTAGAAAGATTTTCTTGGGTGTAGGGCTCCAATCACACGGTGCCAGTAGTGAAGGGACTAGCCAGCCAGCACTGCAGAATCAGAAATTTAACAACTGATTCATGACAGACAGATGGCTCTGTGTTGAGAGGCAGAAGAAATGCATGGGGGTTCATACCATAGGGAGTAGATGACTTACAGTGCAGCAAAGTATGGCATAGGATACTGCAACATCTAGTTTGAAAATGGAGGTGGAGGCAGTCATTGTAGCCTCCCACTTACCTGTGTTCCGTGGGGGGATAAAACTGAAAAGAAGACGTGCCAACATCTCAAAAGGAGGATAAGAATAGGCTAGTATAGCCACAGTTAGAAGATGAGATGCCAATAATGTCACACTAGAAATATTAAATGCCAGGATAGTCTTAGTAGAAAAATTAAGATGCCAGCATGGCTCCAGTAAAGGACGTTATTTTAACAATTTTTTTTTTACATTTAAAGTCTTCTTGAGTGGCTCATGGAATTGTTAAGAATGCAGGGTTCTCGTGCAGGAGACCCATGTTTGGATTCTGCTTAATTAAATTTTTTTTTTTGGGTGTCAGCAAAAATAAAAACCGTTACATGCACAGTCTGTGGTGATGGCACCCGCCATGCCCTAAAATCTCAGGCTCAAAGAGCCACCTGTCTACACTGTAAACATGGTGGTACATACAGGCGGTAATGACATTTAAAAAAAAATGTTTAAATACAATTTATGATGCAGTCTCCTCGACCGTTCACCCCTATTTCTGCTCACTGTAATTCAGGATCCACTGCACTCCATGACGCAGCTGAGATGGGTTTGGATGAGATTGTGTCTCTGCTGCTGTTCCACAACGCCGACTTGAACATCAAAGATGTGGAGGGTAATACACCAATGTGGGTGAGTTAGGGAGCTGCTGTTTAGAAGTAAACTGAGCTATTAGACCAGTAATATCCAGTTGTCAGTGACATGTCAGATGAGACAGATGTGGTGCTTTTCCATGACCACCAGCAGCATGATGATGGAGGTAATAGTGGTGACACAGGCTTTCATGTGGCTAGAATCACAGGACTATTCCTGCGTGTGTGTGCTGAGAGATTCTTTGAGCATTATCCGGCAGATCGAGGCAGGCTGGTTATCCAGACAGTGGTTTGAGCTGTTGCAAAACTCTTCTGTGTCTGCAGTTACCTTCATATCCATCCCAGGGCATGCAGGCATTGTTTGTAATGAAAGATCTTATAGACTGGCAGGTGCTGCATTAATTGAAGATGGTTGGCCCATGGATCACACATGATAGGATGTTCTGAGGATTTTGGAAGCAACGTGTCAACATCACTGCCAAGAATACGCGAATTTGGAGTAGAGATTGGCACAGCCAAGCATGAAACGCATACCGGACGCACACAAAGTCTTGTTATCCAATTATTTGTTTTTAATTAAACCAGTGTGATACAATTTGTATGTGATTTTTCGGACCAAATGGTAAGAGAAAAGGTCTACAACTGTCCATAGTGCTGCTGTTATCAATGAATCTCAGCAAGATAGTGACAGTAGTTTTGAAATTATGATTGATAATACAGGTGCCAAACCTATAGCCGTTAATATGGGTTCGGTTGAAGTTGAACAAAATATTTCAATCAGATCATCCTTGTTTCAGTCAGCTGTGGCAGGAATTCAGTTGTTGACATGTTACATAAAAAATGGTCAAATAATCCAAATATTTAGATTGTGTCAAATAAAGACTATCTGACGTATAATTGAATAGAGAAATTACTTGAATTCTTAGAAACAGGTAACACTGCTGTTGGTCAAGTAAATGAGAAAGGTTAGTATAACATTTCACATGTAAAAATCTGTATGTGTGTCTAATATCCTTGAATGTTGTGTCATTGTAATATTTTGTTGTTGGAGTACTGATCTTTTATTAGTTTAGATGTGTTCTGTATTGATTTCTCTTTAATTTGATGTATTATGTGTCGCTATACAGCCAATACTTTTCTTCAGGAAGGTTTTAGCTTTGTCATGTTGCAGTGAAAACAATTCAGCTCAAAATGAATTCTTTCCAAACCCCAGAAAAAAAATATCTTCCTGCAAGAGTTAACTGAAAAATAAAAGATAAAATGGTTTGGTCATCTCATTAGAATGCAGCCAAAAAGATTACCAACACAGGTTCTATTCATGAATAGATCTAATGCAGAACAAGAGGTCACACCTAGAAGAAAATGGATTGATGACATTAAAGATATTCTACATTAACATAGAATGACAATAGCCATTACTACCCATCAAGCAATGGATCACAAACTATTCCTCCTGATAATGTTTAACAGCAAAAGTGAAAGTTGATGGAGATGATAGTTTCTTTCAGGTTTCTTCGTTATATTGTTTTCTGAAGTTTGTATAGTTTTCTTTTAAAAACTGCATATAAGTTTGTCATGTTTTGCCATCCAGCCTGATCACCAGAATCACAGATCAGATCAGTGTTCTTGTTAGCCCCCATCTATATGGCTAAGCCATACAGGTATCTATCTTTTTTGCCTTTCCTTTCCTCTCTTTCCATCAGTCCTGTCAGTCGTTACCAGTCCTTCTCATAAACATACAGACATAATTTAGTCCTATATTCCAAACATGTGTTTGTTTTGCGATTGTGTATGTGTTCTGTCCGAATGATTGCTGTTTATTAATTTAGAATCCTATTCTCAGAGTAACCTGTCTGTACCAATTTAATCTTTTTCGCAGAAAGCCTGTGTGAACAACAAAACTACAACAACTGTTTTGCTGATAATGAATGATAACACCAATGTACAAGAAAGAAATCCCGTCAATGGATACACACCACTGCATGCTGCAGCCATGCATGGCCATAGAGAATGTGCTCAGGTCAGATCCTTTAGTGATTAGTGGTTAGAAAGGATTATTATCACAGCACTCCCGACAGATCCATAGGTGCTCCGATCTCCTCCTCAAAAGCTGCACAAGTGTAAAATGACCGATGACGCCTGTTCTGTGTTGGTTAATGAAACGTCTTGTCCCCTTAGTGAAATGTTCATTTCTTGCAGCTCCAGGCTGCACCCCCTTGTCCATCAGTCTAGACAGAGATATGAAGTCATGTCCTTTGGTGTGCTCCTCGGTACGGTAAGTGCAGCGCATGGCATTGATAACATTAGTTCTGTCCAGTACTGGACCAGCCATAGCAACCGCAGTGTCAGCAAGATAATCTGCACGCTCGTTTCCTTGAACAACCACATGACCTGGCACAAAGATGAAGGTTAGGGCAGCTATTCGTGAAGTGCTTAGTGCTGCGATCCATTCTTGCCTGATAAATCCAGCTTGGATTTTTTTAAACATATTCATCGAGTCACTAAGAATGCATGTTTTTTAACTTTTGAGTACCAAGCCATGCTAATGCCCTTGTTACAGCCATAGTTTCCATTGTAAGGCTACTAGTTGTAACAGCAAAGGTGCCATTCATCTCCTTGATAGTTTTTCCCCTTGAGCTTACTATAAATGCTGATGCACTTCGCTTGTCCCGAGTTACTGACCATCTGTGTAAAATCTAGCATCACCGTCATCTGTGTTTTCGTCAATCAGTGTTTTAGACCAGATCATAACATCAGGTCAGATCTTTGTTGTCCCCAAGTGGATTTCAAGGTCCTATTTGGGTGAGAGGGGGAAATTGACGTCTTCCCCTGCCCCTTCCCCTTCCCCAAATCATGTTGTAAAAGTTAACAATATACCTGTGTTACCTTCAAAGCCAGAGTGCATCTGTCTGAGAGGCAAGGAACCAACAGTCTGCATACAAATAGACAGATCTGTTGAATGAGTGTGCATGCAGCACTTAAGTTCTGGAACAGACTAAAGTCCAGGAACGGACGAGCAGCCAGAACTTTGTGTTTACAACCTGTGAACACAAAGAAGAAGAAGAAGATCCCAATTATTGTTAGTATCATTTATCATTGTATGTGATTGTAAACAGGATGTAAGGAAGCCATGGTAGCAATGTGACCAGTTGCTAACCCTAAGATCTTGGGTTTTCATCTCACACTGGAGCTGTTTTTTTTAAAATGGCCCTGGCTCTTAGGTCGATCCGCCCTATAGTGGGCAGTTAGAAATATCCTTAGAAGTAAAGGTAGCCCATCTAGTGCTGAATTGTCTGTAAATATATGGGCCTAGCACTAATGTGCCACTTGGGCGAGGAGGTTCTTAATTCTGTTTCTCACTGTAGGAGATTTCCATGAGCCGTAGTAGCCCAATATCTATAACACCTGCTTACCAGCCTGATGCTCGTAAGTTTGAATCTCCTTTCAGAAACAACAAATCTGCAACTGCTTCTAGTCATCACAGTCTAAAATGGGTATCATTAAAAATCCTGGGGAAGTCAAAAGGGATGATGCGATACTGTTCACATCACTCCTTGGGTGCTGCTTGGTCTATATAAGTGTGGATTTGGCACCACTTGCCTAATATGCCTCAAGGCGTGGAAATAAGATATCTATTATTAGTTACTTCACAGTCATCATCATTGTCCTCTTGCGCTATTTGTCACAGAAGGCTATTGTCACAGTATTATTAAATGTCACATAGGGCTATTGTCATAGTATTATTATGTGTCACATAGGACTATTGTCACAGTAAAATTATATGTCACATAGGGCTATTGGCACAGTATTATTATTTGTCACATAGTGCTATTGTCACAGTATTATTAATTATGTGACACATAGGGCTCACAGTCTAGGTTTAGGTTTAAACAGTGGATCAACATCATGGCACAAGGGTAGTAACCCATAAGTGCTCTGTCCTACTTCTAACTAAAGCCTGAGTCCAAAGAATCTCAGTGCAGTGCACGAACCCCGTAGCACTGGCGAGGATCCTGAAATACTTTGGGTAGATTTTAACTCAAGATTTTGCCCGGGCAGCACCATTAGGCTACTCTTTTTGGTTTCAACTGCCAGGGGATTTTTTACATGCGCAACAATACACACGAGTGTCCGACCTTACTACCCAGAGACCAGGGGAAATTACTAGAAGTCCACGTGACAAAAATCCCAGCCTTCACCGGGGCCTGAACTCGGGACCTCCAGCACTCGAGGCGGACACCATGCGCTGAGACCACGCAGTTTATTCCTCCATTTAATTTAATAGAATGATTTCCTTCTCTGCAAGTTTGTAGCGGAAAGGCTTTTTTTAAGGTGGTGGAGCTAGTTTCTTGCCCAGACCTCCTCCTTTTTCATCCTAACTTGGGACCGACAATGGCAAATCAGTAACCACGACTGGTAACTTTAGTAAAATATCTGTTCCATTTCCTGTCTTGCTGTCTATTCTTCTTCTTCATCTTCGACATTTCAAGCCCATGCTGCAGAGATTACCCACCTTCATTCATCTCTCTGCTTGGCCTTCTATTTCCAGTTGGTGACACCGATGTTTTGTGAGTCTGCCTGTATGATATCTCTCACTGTCTTATCAGTCTGCATTGTGGTCTACTCCATTTAAACTCGTTTGGGTACTCAGTTCTGTCTTTGTGGTCTGCCATCCTCTCTATATGCCCTGACCATTTCAGTCTGTTAGCCCTAATGATGGCAGTAATTAATGATGATTTTAAACTAATAATGAAAAATTAAAGAAACACAGTTATCTGATGGCACATTTTTATTAGTCGATGGAAAAAAACAAAAAAATCTATCAATGACCTAGATTAGAAAAAGTTCAGTTGATTGTTTGAACCCTAAGGTAATTAATTCTATGTGCAATTTGAACTGTTTCACTCAATAAATTACACCGATTTTGAATGTCAAAATTTTTTTCCTTTCAGTAGTTAGTTGCGTATCCTTTACAGGACGTTGTAGAACCAACCCTAGCATTTTTTGGCTGTTGTGGTTTTTGAAGGCAGATTTTACGTTAATTAGTTTGCCATTGCTTTCGGAATGGTCAGCTCTCGATACCGCTGTCTAAACCAACGCAAGACAAACCGTCTGCAGCTAGGATCGAACCCGGCACCCCGGCATTACTAAAGGTGTTTGCAACGCCTGAGCCACAGTAGCATGCGTTAAAATGTTTTTATTTTAAATAGTATAATTGTTGTTTGCAGATCCTGTTGAATGCTGGTGCAGCCATCTATTCCCGTGGGACAAATGAGGATACTCCAGTGGAACTGGCTGAAACCTACAGGCGTTATGACTGTGTAGACTTATTTGGTAATTAAATACTTCTTTATGTAAAAGCAAGAGGTACAGGTAATCAGTATCAGAGAAATACTGTCATAGAGGATGTTAGGCTTTTACATATACTAAATATTAGTTTACTGAAGTGAATTGATCAGTTCCCTACCTCACTGTCTCACCTTCTAAGATAACCTATTGTTTTCTGAAAAATCACCTCGAACCCATGTTTCAGAACTATACAAATAGGACAGGGCAAAACTGCATTTTATTAAGTAAAGAACATTTTATGCAATAAATCCCTTTCAAGGTTAGAAAAAAGTATTTTTGCATGCTGTATAGAGCCAGTTTTAACCTATGGCTGTGAATCTTGGACAGTTATTAAACAAGCCAAACAAATTCTTGAAGCCTGGGAAATGTGATTTTACAGAAGAATTCCTAATATTTCTTAGACAGCCAAAAAGATAAGCTGTTTTAAAATGTTTTAAAACAGGTGAGGAATAGAAGACAACTTATCACAAACATCAGAAAGAGACAGTCATGAGATCATGTTATAAGAAGAATGAAGCTATAATATGTTGTGACCGCTGGAAGGTTCTGTGGAAAAAGAGACAGAGCAATGCAAAACAAGAAGATTCTTGACAGATTTTTATCATGGCATGGAGGGCCATCAGCGCACAGACTGATACATGTTGTTGAAGATCGCAGATTGTGGAGAGGCATGATCACCCATGCTTGTCTGCAAAGTACTTGATGAAGATTAGGCAAATATTGTTTTTCTTTGAGAAGTGACTGCGTCGTGATGCTGATCTGCCCTGGGCAAGGTGGTTATGAGGTAGACAAACACATATTGCAGACTGGGCTCCTGTGAAATGTGAGCAGTGGTCAAGGACCAGGTATCTCCTTCTCCACCTCTTTTACGGTTTCGAGTGCTGTGGGAGATGCTCGATTCTGCTTCTTATTCTTCTATTAATAAAGTAACAGAAAATGTATTGATCGGCACTCATAGAAAGAAGTAGAAAAATAGAAGAACACACAAAACAACATAAAAATCAAAAGCTATAGTTACTGTGCCATAAATTGAACCTGTCACCTCCAGACGACATGTGCGCCTTGCTATGGATACAAGTGCACTAAGTCATGAACTGACTGCAAAGCAGTCATAATCTAACTTCAGAGAGAGAGCAGGTCAAAAGAGGTTAGACCAGTGTTTCCCAAACTTGTCTTAGTCGCGGCGCCTTTTTTTAATTAACATTTTTCCACTGCTTCTTAACCTAATTAAACGTATGACTATTCATGTGAATGAGAAACTGGCGCACAGTTTAGGAATCCCTGGGTTAGACCAAACAGAGAACACTGAAAGAAGTTAAAAAAGAATAATAAACCATGAAAGCACTGATGCCACCTCTAAAACCTGAGGGATATACTGAAGAAAAGATCTTAGCACATAATGAAAACATGTCTATGCTGCCTTTGAGGCTGGGATAGGAGACATTTCAACCATCTCCTCATGGGTACAATCAGTACCCTTATAGTAGCTGCTGCATCAGAGGACTGAGCATGCGTGGGAATGCACAATGTCTGGTGACATCGAAATTTATAACATAACATTATAAACTGAATTGTTTGATGTGGAGTGACGATCAGCAACCATGTTGGTCTCACTGTTAATTTCACTTCTACAGCAAGTTACAAGGAGCCTGCACCAGCGACAAGCAAATCTGACTGGTTTCATCCAGAGTTGGATCGACAGGTATGTTTTCTGTTTCTTGTTATTGTAAAGCTTCTTTTAAATTTTCATGACCTGCTTAATGCATTTTTTTTTCATCAACACAACAGCATGACAGATAACATTAGAGAAACTCTACAACAGTACATTGAGTCTGTGCTTGAGGCAGCCAGAAGATTCAGAAACAGAACCTTTTGTCTCCCTTAGCATCTGAAGCGGCAAAAGAGGAAGTGAGAAGAAGAACAACAACATGAGTTTGTGGCCCTGGGGATGTGGTTGTACAAAAGACTTGGTCATAATTCCTGAAAAACTTAAAAGATTTGTTGACAACTGGCACACATCATGGGGAAAAAAGAGCAAATGCCATGGAAGAAAGATGAAGCGACAAAGTAAAGATATATTTTCCTTGATGAATTTTGTGTGACAAGAACACATACCTGATCTGTGCTTCTGGTGATCGTATAAGGTTGCAGATAATGACCATTTATGCTAATTGGCATAATACATGATGTTTCCTATTTCATTTCTTCCTCCAACCCTTCAATGTTTCATTTCTTCCTCCAACCCTTCAGTGTTTCATTTCTTCCTCCAACCCTTCAGTGTTTCATTTCTTCCTCCAACCCTTCAGTGTTTCATTTCTTCCTCCAACCCTTCAGTGTTTCATTTCTTACTCCAACCCTTCAATGTTTCATTTCTTACTCCAACCCTTCAATGTTTCATTTCTTCCTCCAACCCTTCAGTGTTTCATTTCTTCCTCTAACCCTTCAATGTTTCATTTCTTCCTCCAACCCTTCAGTGTTTCATTTCTTCCTCCAACCCTTCAATGTTTCATTTCTTCCTCCAACCCTTCAATGTTTCATTTCTTCCTCCAACCCTTCAATGTTTCATTTCTTCCTCCATCCCTTCAGTGTTTCATTTCTTCCTCCAACCCTTCAATGTTTCATTTCTTCCTCCAACCCTTCAGTGTTTCATTTCTTCCTCCAACCCTTCAATGTTTCATTTCTTCCTCCAACCCTTCAGTGTTTCATTTCCTCCTCCAACCCTTCAGTGTTTCATTTCTTCCTCCAACCCTTCAATGTTTCATTTCTTCCTCTAACCCTTCAGTGTTTCATTTCTTCCTCCAACCCTTCAGTGTTTCATTTCTTCCTCCAACCCTTCAATGTTTCATTTCTTCCTCCAACCCTTCAGTGTTTCATTTCTTCCTCCAACCCTTCAATGTTTCATTTCTTCCTCCAACCCTTCAGTGTTTCATTTCTTCCTCCGACCCTTCAATGTTTTATTTCTTCCTCCAACCCTTCAGTGTTTCATTTCTTCCTCCAACCCTTCAATGTTTCATTTCTTCCTCCAACCCTTCAATGTTTCATTTCTTCCTCCAACCCTTCAGTGTTTCATTTCTTCCTCCAACCCTTCAATGTTTCATTTCTTCCTCCAACCCTTCAGTGTTTCATTTCTTCCTCCAACCCTTCAATGTTTCATTTCTTCCTCCAACCCTTCAGTGTTTCATTTCTTCCTCCAACCCTTCAATGTTTCATTTCTTCCTCCAACCCTTCAATGTTTCATTTCTTCCTCCAACCCTTCAGTGTTTCATTTCTTCCTCCAACCCTTCAATGTTTCATTTCTTCCTCCAACCCTTCAGTGTTTCATTTCTTCCTCCAACCCTTCAATGTTTCATTTCTTCCTCCAACCCTTCAATGTTTCATTCATGATCTATGTGAATTCTGCCAAACTGGACTGTCTTTAATATAAGATATTTACCTATTTCCAGTTGATCTAAAAAATATAGGTCTAGCCCTATGTGCCCAATATGCCTGAAAGCACAGAAGAGGGCCCTTTACCTAGTTTTTCTTTTTTAAATAATAATAAAAAAAAAAATTAAATGTACCTAGTGTTTGTGCTCATTTTTGCCCCTGTAGGGATGCAAATATACCTGCTTATTTCTTCTTAAAGCGGTGGTTCTCAGACTCTGGGTCATGACCCTGGGTCACGACCCTTTTGGGAATTGAGCGACCTTTTCACAGGGGTCGCCTAAGACCATAAGAAAACACATAGTCAATGAAGTTATGAAGTAGCAGTGAAAATAACTTTATGGCTGGGGGAGGGGGGGGGGGGGTCACCACAGCATGAGAACCCGTATTAAAGGGTTGTGGCATTAGTAAGGTTGAGAACCGCTGTCCTAAAGAATACAGCCCACTGATTCATTACTTGCTCTTACAGGGTGCAGAGGATATGCTCAGAAATCACAAATCAAGAAACGGCTTGTTTCTTATTCGCCCAAACAAATATGGGCAACCTGTTCTCAGTTTATTCAAAGACATTGGCGTCTATCACTATGAAATTAAGACAAAGGTGAGAGTGTTTTCTATATTGGCCTTTATCACTATGAAATTTAGATAAAGGTGAGAGTGTTTTCTATATTGGCCTTTATCACTATGAAATTTAGATAAAGGTGAGAGTGTTTTCTATATTGGTGTTTATCACTATGAAATTTAGATAAAGGTGAGAGTGTTTTCTATATTGGTGTTTATCACTATGAAGTTAAGATAACGGTGAGAGTGTTTGCTATATTAGTGTTTATCACTATGAAATTAAGACAAAGATGAGTATTTTCTGTGGTCGTCAGTCAGTGATTTAACTATGTTTTCTGAATTCATCAAGAATGATTTAATTTCATTTTCTGTATTCACCAATCAGTGTTTTAACCCACCATTTCATCCCACAAATCCCCTTGAGGAGAAAAGATCATGAACCCAGGAATATATCCTCTGCCCCAAACAATCTTTTAAAAAACAATCATTTTACAGAGGTCACAAATACATTAAATTTTTTAAAAATGTTATACATTGGAAAAGCATATGTGTGTTAGCGTGTGTGCACCTGCGAGAGAGAGAGAGACCTGGTCACTATACGGTTGCTACAGGAAAATGTTGATGTCTTAATTACTTTTTAAATGTAATTTTTTTTAAAGCCATATTTACACAGAGAGTCACCGTGGCATTGGCGGCTAGATGCCCGCCTGCGAATCGGAAGGTCGTGGGTTCACATCCTGATGGAGCCAGACTTTTTTTCTTCAAAAAATGACATTGACTCTCAGGTCGACCCAGCCTTGAGTGGGTACCAGGTGCAGCCCTGGGAAGTAAAGGTGGCCTGATGCTGACCACATCATCCACCAAGTGCTGATTGGTCTATAAAAATATAGGTCTAGCCCTATATTCCCAATGCGCCTAAAGGCGTGGAAAAGTTACCTTTACTTACATATTTTCACAGTGAACACCCAGATGATCTTACTAAACAAACCTGGTTTCACTGTTTAATGTCTATTCATAAGTAATGCAGCCACAATTTTTTTGACATCTGCTGCAAAACTTCCTGAGACTAAAAAAAAAAGTCAATGCTTTTGGAGATATATTCATCATTCATTCATTCATTCAACACGGGTGAGGAGTATTGTCTGGATTTTTTCACCAAGGCATGCCAGTGTGTTGGGAAATGAACAGATGGACAGATTCGCTGGTTCTGCACAGGTTGGTGGAATACTGATGCATGATAAGGCAGACGTGGTTTGTGCCTTGTGGGAGAGCGTGTACAGTTAGGAGGAGCAGATGGATCACCACAGTCTGGTGAGATTGATGCAGGGGGGGAGTGACGAGAGGTTCTGGCAGATGCTCGAGACTCAGAGGAAAGGCAAAACGGACGTTTAATCAGAATGCTACTGGCACCATTAGTATAGGAACTCTTCGCTGGCTGCTGAAGATGGGGACAGAGCGCTTATGGAAATGCCCCGAGTGCTGTGATGTCGGTTATTAAATCAAATCATTCATTCGTTCATTCATTCATTCATCTGTTACACTATTATGTGTCACAGAAGGCTTTGTGGTTTATTTCTCCATTCAGAGATTTGCTGGTGTAGTAAAATTAGTAAAAAGTAAAGATCCCTTTTTACGCCTCAGGCGCATCGGGCATATGGGAAGTGCACCCATATCTTTACAGACCGATCAGCACTAGGTCGGTAATGTGGTCAGCATTATGCCAGCCATCTTTGCTTCCCTAGGACAGCCATCCTGGTTCCCATTTTAGGCTGGGTCCACCTACGACGCCCCATACTTTGATAAAAATCCACAAAGCCAGCAGTGGGTTTTGTTAGGGGTACGTTGGAATTATGAGTCGGACTCGCAACAACTAAGCCGCGGACGCCGCTAATAAAATTAGTGTAAAATGAAACGAAGGTTATCATCATCATCATCATCAGGTGCCTTGCCGACTGGCGTGGGCGATCATGCCTCTCCATAATCCGCGATCTCCTTCAGCATGTATCAGTTCGTGTGCCGACGCACCTCCATGCCATGCAACAAGACTGTCAAGCATCTTCTCTCGTTGTCTTCCTCTATCCCTCCTTCCATGAATGAAGGTTATAAAAAGATATAAAAATCTATTGAACTGGGTGTATCATGACATAAGGATCGTAAAAAGACATGCAGCTCTTATTAAATAATAATGACATGTCTCAAGGCTCAGAAAAAGACGTACAGGTCTTATAAGAACAGAGTAAATAAATAAGACCCCACAGAGACATACACATCTTGTGTACACAGACGGTTCAATGTCAAGAGGCAAAAGAAGTGCTTGAGGCTTCTTAGCAAAAGTTAGTGGTCGACGTTTGGTGCAGGAGAGCCTAGCATAATATACCACAACATCCAGCTTAAGAATGGAGGTGGAGGCAGTCATTGCAGCTTTCCGCTGGCTAGAGAACATGACACACACACACATCGTGATTGAAACTGATTCAGAAAGCATGCTGAGGAAGATCTGAACAGGTATGCTTTGTACAGAGTGGCATGCTTCTCTGTGGAGGACACGGGTGAGGAGTATTGTCTGGATTTTTTCACCGGGTATGCTAGGTGTGTTGGGAAATGAACAGATGGACAGACTGGCTGGCTCTGCACAACTTGGTGGAATACTGATTCAAGATAAGGCAGATGTGGTTAGTGCCTTGTGGGAGAGCGTGTACAGTTCGGAGGAGCAGATGGATCACCACAGTCTAGTGAGATTGATGCAGCGTTGAGTGACGAGAGGTTCTGGCAGATGCTCGAGGCTCAGAGGAAATTCAAGATGGACATTTAATCAGAATGCTACTGGCACCATTAGTATCGGAACTCTTTGCTGGCTGCTGAAGATGGGGACGGAACGCTTATAGGAATGCCCTGAGTGCTGTGATGTGGATTCTTGAATCAAATCAAATCAACATCTAGTGAAATTAAGATAACATTATTTAAAGGTCTTTAAGAGATGTACAAGTCTAGTAAAATCAGAGTAACATGATGGGGAAGTGGTGGGGTCCTCATGAGGCACACAGCTGTAGAGTAGCATGAGGGGGAGGGGGGGGGGGGGTCCTGATAAGGCGTACGACTGTAATGAAATCAGTGTAACATGACAGGGGGATCCTGATGAGGTAAATGGCTATAATCAAATCACAGTAACATGACAGGAAGGTCCTGATGAGGCGTACTGCTATAATGAAATCAGAGTAACATGATATAAGAAAGACATGTAGGCCTAACAAAATCAGTAACTTATGAGTTACTGGGGTTTAGGAGAGACATACATGTCTATTTGAACAAGAGTAACATGGCTGTCAATTGATTACAAATAAACAAGAGAGAACATGGTGGATCGACATGACTACCAACGTCACGTGTCATGGACTATAAGAAGAAGAACATGGTTGTTAGGGAGCCGCAGTAGGATAGTGGCTAGATGCTAACCTTCCAGTCTAAAGGTCTTGGGAATTCAAATCTACATTAGGATGGATTTTTTTTGTTGAGGGGGGGGGGGGATGTTGATGGGAGGGGGGGGGGGCAGTGACTGTGACTGCCAACTCAGCCCAGCCTTCAGTGAGTTCCAGGTAATGTCCTTGGAAGTAAATGCTGCCAGCATAATGCTGACCACATCACCTACTGAATGCTGATTGATCTATTAAAGAAACAAAATGATTCTAACATCAGATACTTGATGCACTGCTGGCATAAATACGGATCCTTTACTTCATCGTATTTAAAAAAAAATTCTGATCGTCAGTGACATTTAAATCAACTGACTATTTTGCCTTCCCTGCAGGAGTACAGAAAACAGCAAGTTTACTATATCGATGATGGTCCCCTTCATCGTTCTCTTGAATTATTGGTCCAGTATTACAGTACTTTTGAAGATGGCTTGGGAGTTCCCCTCCAGGCATCTGTGAAAACAAGTGAGTTGTTGTTTCCTTGACTTTGCTGTCTTTTTCTGTATTCATCCTTAAAAGGGCAATTGTCAATTTGTACTGTGGTTTACAGCTATGCTACAATATCTGTACCTTTGGGCCCCACATCCCTATCTCCTAATTGCCTGTTTATGACATGTTTTTTAGCAGGCAGTGGGTCTATTCCCCATTCCCCCCACCCCACCACCAAATGAGGCTACAGAATCCACACAGGGACTAGAAGATTTATGTTCCCAAGCCTGGTATTATTGGAAGAACAGCTTGGGTACAGGACATTAGAGACAGCCTGAACTTGCAAATGTGCCGTTACTAGGACTAGTTAAACAAGGCAGGTCGAGAGAGAGAGAGATCATGATGTGTGGGCAACATATGGTCTCTAAAATACTGCCCAGGCTTTGTGCTATGGAGGGGATAAAAAAACGGGGGCGGGTCTTGCTAGTCACACTCACCATTACTTTGTGACCGTCCTTCATATTTTGTGTACATTTCAGATAATGACGTCATTGAACTCAACATCCCTTGTGTGTACAGTAACTTAACCTCACCGCGATCACCACTTCCTGCAGGTTAGTCTCTTCTGTGTCAATGAGTTAATTAATTGTGAACAGTACAGAGGCACAAACAGATTATTGGCTTGCTGCTGAACATGGGGATGGAGCGCTTATGGGGGTGCCCTGAGTGCTGATGGGGTTGTCCCGAGTGCTGTGATGTCAATTCTTAATTCAGCATTCAACATTCAAACAGATTGTTACGGTCTGAGGAGAATGGCGCTGCGGGGAGTTACCAGGGGATCTGGCCATCGCTCAACACTCAAGGGAAAGTTGAGACAGAGGTACAGTCAAACAGTTACTGGTGCCATCACAATTGGAACTCTTCACTTGCTGCTGAAGATAGGGATTAAGCGCTTATGGGAGTGTCCAAGGGCTGTAATTATTCAGTCACTCATGTGCTATCTCCAGAGTGAAATGTTGGCTGTTGTGAATCTCCAACACTGTCTCTTGTCTTAATTGTACATATTCTCAGCCTGCTTTTCACTTGTTCTGTTGATGTTCTCCACCCCGCTTGTATCATTGTCTGCCTCTTGCTGGCTTACCTTCGACTTGCCTATCCATTATGGTTTTTAGACAGTTTTTTCTTTTTTAAATGTGACTCTCTTGTCTTTTTTTTTTTTTAGCAGCTCTTTCATTGACAATCTCTCAAGAAACTGAAATTTTTCCCCCTATAAATACCACCTCTTGTTTTGTAAATCCACATCTCCTGAGGCAATTCTTAATTGTAATATGTTGTTTGTCTCTCTCTAGATGTAAATAATTTTCACAGTTTATTGGAGATATTTTAGCCATTCCTATTATCTTTTTGATTTTGCATTTCACATCTGCCATATTCTCTTATTACATTCCAAGATAGAGAAAATTATGTTCTGGATATTGTTATCTCATTTTCTAGAAGTTTGTTTTCCCTTGAGTTCTTTTCCCCTTTTAAAAAAAAATTAATTAATCTTTCTGTCTTCTCTGACTGCTCTTCTCTCAATCTCTCTCTTTAAAAATCTAGTTAATTCTGAGAGGAACTGTTCATTATAAAGACTCATTGGAGATGATAAATATACCACATGATCGTATACATGTTGAACATACATGAAACGGCCCATTAGATGGTCATCTCATTGTGCTCTGTGCCACAGACTGGATATTGAGCACCTTTTCTGAAGTGAGCAAAGTCAGTTAATATTAGATTTGTGGCAGCAAAGGGAAATCAGAGAAAAATGGATGTAGAAACTGCAAGCAGCTGGACAACATATAATAGAAACAACATTATAATTGCCAGTATCTCCCCAGCTCAGGCTCCTAAGAAGATACACAGAGATATAAAAATAAAGGTCCTTTTTGTTGCCTTTTAATGCATTTGGCATATAGGGCTAGACCTATAATTTTGTAGACCAATCATCACTCAGAGGTTGACGTGGTCAGCATTAAATGGACTGCTTTTACTTCCCAGGACATTAACTGGTATCTGTTTCAGGCTGGGTCAGCTGGATGGCTAAGGTCGATTTTTGTAGAAAACAATTTCAGAGAAATACATGATTAATAATATCTCATAAGTATCCCACTATGCCACTTTCACTCCTTTTTTTGGGGGGGGGGGGGGGGGGGGGGGGTTGCAGACTTACTGAAACACACAGACTTACTGGTGGTGCATCACAACCAGGGCTCATACCGGTTAGAATCTGTCTTCACCTCTTATCAGTCATCCTAGAAACAGACTGGCAATCAGGAACCTGGCAGAGGTAAATAGAGTCAATGTTTCTTTCAAAGTCTGAGTGCATTTGCCTGAAAGGCCAGAAACCAACATTCTGCACACAGATAAGCCAGGTCTGTAAAATGGATTTGCAATCATTATTGAAATTCAGGAACAAGATCAAAGTCTAGAAGGGGGAAACAACCAGAACGTTCTGCCAGAGTTCAAGCCAGTCAAAGCTGTTGACAAGAAGAAGATCCATAATTTTTTTTTTTTGTTCTCCTTTTATGTGTGATTAAAGTCTGATTTTATAATTTGATGTCAAGTAATAATTAAAAAAAAGTTTAATTGCATATCCTTTTTAAAAAAAAATCCAAGCCAGTGGAAGCTGTTGAGAAGAAGAATAGGATCCATAATTTTGTGTGTGTGATTAAAGTATAATTAATAATTCAGTGTCAAGTTGGCTATTGTGGTATTTCTAGGCAAATATTACATTCAATAGTTTGCCATTGCTTCTGAATGATCAGTTCTCGGTACCGCTGTCGAGACCAACATCAAATCGCCTGTATTTGGGATCAAACCCGACATTACAAAGTGCATTTGCAATGCCTAAGCCACAGGCTCTGACATAAAATGATTATAAAAACACATTAATGCCCTGAAGATGTGAATGTACCGAAGAAAAGTTCATGTTTGATGGAAATTTATTACCAGCCCATGGGTTGAAATACTTCCTGAGTCTTGCATTCCTGTTTTTCAGTTAATTTAATATTTGCCTCATTTTATTTCTCATAGGCAGGTCTAAACCAAAGCTACCACCTCGGCCACCTGATCTGGACTCTCCCCCAACTGCTGAAGCCCCACTGGTAGGTTTGACAAATAAATGGAGTGTTGGGAATCATAAAATACAACATCAGCAATATTGGATTAGTTTTGTATTAACCCTGTTGCCGTAGGAACCCCTGAACCAGGGGGAGGGGGGGAGGGGGGCTGAATTGCTTTTCTTTTTTGAAGATTTGAACACACAAAAAATGTTAGTTGCATATCCTTAGCCTTTTTTTTTTTCTAGGCAAATGTTACATTCAGTAGTTTGCCATTGCCTCTGAAAGGTCAGCTCTCAGTACCACTGTCTAAACCAGAGCAAGACCCTCTGCTGCAATGCCATAGCCACAGACGATGATAGTAGCACATTGGGCATATGACGCCAGACTCATCATATTTGTATAGACTATTCTGAGCTTGATGGGTAACTCATGCCATGACCCTGTGACCTAAACTACTGAGACTTGCATGAAAATGCGACATTAACCTAGCTTTTTAAAAGCCATTAGGGATATAAATTGCTTCTTCTCCCCCCTCTCCCCCCCCCCCCCCCCCCCCCCCCACCTCATGCTATTTGTAGTTACTATATTTATATTCGTGCAACCTAAACACTCGTTGCATTCCGACTCATAATTCCAACGTACCGCGATCAAAACCCACTGCTGCCTGCTTGGATTTTTGTAATGGTATGAGGTGTCGCAGGTCGACCCAGCCTAAAATATGTACCAGGGTGTATGTCCTGGGAAAGTAAAGACGGCTGGCGTAATGCTGACCACTTTACCAACCTAGTGCCGATTGGTCTGTTGAAATATGGGTGGTCCTCCCATATGCCGGGTGCGCCTAAAAGGCGTGAAAACTGATCTTTACTTACAACCTAAGCGCTAGGCAGGTGCACAAATCAACCTGTGGCATTTAATTATGCTTTTTTGGCCACTCTTAGAGCAACAGAGTTAACGCTCAGTGGCAGTATCAAGTGTGAATTTCATAAACAGACAGACAAATATTGGGACAGCTAGCCCCTACACCCCCCCCCCCCTTTTTTTTTTTTTTAAAGTGTGTTTGTGTGTGTCTGTGTGTGCAGCATAAGGCAGTCCCAGTGAGCATAAAGAAACATCTCATACGAATCGTATTTATTCCCAGCTTGCGCGGCCAGTCACGGTCACTTCTAACAAACCAGAAAATCTTCAGGAGTGACCAGAAGAGATAAAAATCAGGAATGAAATATAAGTGAATAAAATCAATAAAACCAGTTCTAAATTACATACACAAAGGCACTAAATAAAATGGTTTTTGATTAGAAAGAATGCTTTGCAAAATCATACTCTCTATAAGGCACACACCTAAAAGAAGAGGGGCATAGAGCGAGAGGTAAACCAAGAACAATTTTGAAAGATAACATGGAAGACATTCTACATTAGCATGATTTGTCTGTTGTCGAAGGGACTACAAGAGCAAGAAACAGAACTTTATATCTCTCTCTCTTGACACCTGAATTGGTGAAAGAGGAAGTGATGAAAAAGCAGCTGCAGCATGGGTTTATAAGTATAAAATTTATCTTTATAAAACAAAACTTGATAAGTTTACAGTATAAATTTATCTGTACGTTAGCATGGCTTTATCTCTTTAGACTACTTCTGGCGCTTTATTAATATCCTACCCCAAACATGAGAAATCCCCAGGTCACGGGACAGTCTGATATTTCAAGGGGTGGTAAATAGGCTGCATGCAGTTGTGGGACCCAGGCTGCATACATTCGTGGGACTTAGGCTGCACTTTCTAGTGGGACATAAGTGGGTTGGGGTTAGGACCAGTTCTAGATGTTCTGGGGTCTTTAATAGCATCAGAAAGCTGGGAAATCCAGAATTACCACCCTCTAAATGTTGGACTGTCCTGTGACGTCATCTGGGGTAAGATATTATTAAAGAACCTTACTTCTTCTTACAGTTCAAGCCATGTGGCATTGGTAGTTATGTCTGTCCGCAACCTTCTGTCTCTTGTACTTTCAATCAGTTCTGACACAGATGTTCTTCCATGTCATAACCGTCCAGCATATTCTCACTTGGCCTCCCTCTGCCTCTTTCCCCCTCCAGCTTTCTCATCATCATGATGTACTCCAGTTTTCCTTCTCATTACATGACCAAAGAATGTAGATTGCCTACTCCTAAAAGAATGTAGATTGCCTACTCCTGAAATGGATAATCTGTTCTCTTCATGACTCATAACTTTCAAGTAATCTTTATTGCTCTTTTTATCAGTTTGTGGTATTTGAATTATAACAAAATGAAAGGGATGGCCTTATTTGTTGAGAATAAACTTTTCTTCTTCTTCTTTTTCTTCTTTGTTGAGCGGCTGTAAGATGTGGTGCATACCTAGTTGTTCATTCGTTTGGACTTTGGCTTCGTGCCATGGTTAAGTTTTGCGTGTACATCCATTTTTACTGACTTATTTGTGTGCAGTTGGTGGTTCCTTGCCACTCGGGCAAATGTACTCCTGCTTCGAAGGAAGTCCCCAAATGGTTGACTCTTATGACATGCTTGTTTGGGGGAGGCAGTGGGTCTATTCTTGTTTTCCCCACAGCAGGGCCCGGGAACCCACACGGGGGGAATACACATTTTCAAAGTTTAACCTAATTGGCTAGAAATACACATGTGTTGAGGAGTGAGTTTTAAACTGTTAACATAGATTGTAATATTTTCACTTGTCAGTCTTCTACTCTGTCTAGACTCCTGAACCAGCTCCTCCACAGAAGGATTTTAATTGGAAGACTGAGAACAGCGAGCCTCTGAAGAAAATTCAACTAAAAAACCTCAAATTAGGTATGTTAAGTTGGCAGAAATGTTTCTCTCATTTATTTTGATTTGTTTCATAAACTCTGTTCGCTGAAAGTAATACAGACACAAACAGTACATTGCACAGTTATTGCCTGGCATATTTCACTATATCTGTTCATGGCCATTATAACAGAGTTAGATTCTCTGGCCTTTGAAACCTTTTCTTTACTTAAACATCAGACAGTTGAACACTGGTATAGCTTTTAAGCTGCTTTTATAAACATATTAGCTGTCAGTGTCTGTGAGAGTCAGAAATCAAATAGACACAGGAATAACTGTCTGCAAACAATCAAATAATTAACTCTTTTCCATTTGATGTGGTTTTTGGTTTGTAGTCACCCGTGTAGAGTTGATAGATAAGGAGACTGCACTGATGGAGGGTAGAAATGAAAACAACGTGCTATTGTGAGTCAATAAATAAGGAGATTGTGCTGATGAAGGGTAAAAATGAACAGCATGCTGTTGTGAGCTGATAAATAAGGAGATTGCGCTGATGAAGGGTAAAAATGAAGAACAGCATGCTGTTGTGAGCTGATAAATAAGGAGATTGTGCTGATGAAGAGTAAAAATGAAGAACAGCATGCTGTTGTGAGCTGATAAATAAGGAGATTGCGCTGATGAAGGGTACAAATGAAGAATAGCATGCTGTTGTGAGCTGATAAATAAGGAGATTGCGCTGATGAAGGGTACAAATGAAGAATAGCATGCTGTTGTGTGACATTTAGTGGCAAATGAGTTCCTCATTTTACTAATTCGAAGGGGGAGTTTACCAATCAATGATGGAGGAAATGATAAAGTAAATGAAGTATAGGACTCTTTCCACATCAGTGGTGTATCGGGCATATGAATCTGCTCATATTTTTGTAGACCAGTGGGTACTCTATGGGTGATGCGGTAAACATCATGCCAGCCGCCTTTACTTTCCAGGACCTTACCTGCTACTTATTTCAGGCTGGGTTAACCTGGGAGCCAAGGAAATTTTATTTTGAGAACTAAATGTGAAATGTCATTGCATAAATAAATTGTGGTCTTTTTCTTATTTTTATCGTAAAATTATTATTCAACAATCGCCCTTAAAAATAGGATTAACACTGTGTTGTGCTTTACAGGTAGGCTGCAATATCTACGCCTTCTGTCCCAACACATCTAACTTTAGCAAGCCCTTAATTAGCCAGATTTTACGGCATGCTTTTTTAACTCTTTCAGTCCCTGCGGGTTTAACATCAGAGGCCCAAGGGGTAGTAAAGAGAGATGTAAAAATGGCACATCCTATGTCAATTGGGCTTCTAGGTAGGAACCTATTAATGAATTGTGCATTTTTTAGATTTGAAAGAGTTAATGTACATGGCCTATTCTTTAGGTTTTTCCCCCTTTCCACATTGGAAGCTCCCAAAACCCACAAGTCTAAAATGGTATTCATGTTTGTATTTAATTGCTTGAAATATCCATTTAAAACTCATTATCAGACCTGCACTTTTGTTTCTCTACCCCCCCCCCCCCCCCCCCCCCCCCCCCACACACACACACACATTTTAACAAATAACAGCTGTGCTGCTATTTTGTAAGATCTATTTACTTTGCACAGGTAAAGAGTTGGGGCAGGGTGAATTCGGCTCGGTTTTAAAGGGAGTCTTGATTTTGGAGAAAAAGTTTTTGAGGAAAGAAAAAGTGAGTGCAACAGCTATTTTTAGTTTCAATTATCTGTCTTCTTCGTTTTTTGTGTGTGTGTGTTGTTGTGTGATAAAACATTCTGTAATAAGTCAGATATGAGAAAAATTCAACCATTTACGTGTACAGATAACATTTTAAACAATCGTCCCAGCAGGAAAAATTTTTGTCAAGAGAAACAGTCAAGATCAGATTTTAGATGGCAGGGTCAGATATGGTCTAACCCATCAGCAATTGTCCATAATAATTAAAAAAAAAAAAACACATTTGCCACTAATAATTTTTTTTAACGCATTTTAAGAACCCTTTTATAGAACCCTTTGGCATGGTACTATAGATGTCGCAACCCTTTGGCTTTGATTCCATGATAGATACCATAAATTTGGAAGAAATGTCTCTCTTCTGCCTAGACCAGGCGTGAACCCAGACCACAAGAAGTTCATCACCCAGTCGCCACGCAGTCTGGTTTAACCAACTTAGCTAGCGAGTCGGGCAGTAAAATTGATAAAGATGAATTGCCAGTATTTACACTTAGTTTATCATTACTTGGATGCAATGTATACTATAGTACCATACTGAATTTGTGTTACTTTTTTATTGCGTTGTAGTAATTTTGTGTTAGTGTGATGAATGTTTGCACCAAACATCAGTTTTAGGGAGATATATTTGCTGCGGCCAACTAGAAGTACTGTGGGGAAGTATAGTGATTGTGAGGTTGATTCAGTGTTTATAACTAGGTGAGAAAGGTTTGCATTGTATACCCATTAGATAGCTCTACCTCTTCTTCTTCTCCTTCTTCTTCTCCACCTCCTCCTCCTCTTTCTCTCCCTCCTTCTTCTTCTTTTTCTTCTTCTTCTTCTTGTTCTGCTTCTTCTTCTTCTTCTTCTGCTTCTTTAAATCCCCTTTAACCGCTTCGGGTGTCAATGAAGATATAAGGTTCTGCATTGTGCCCTTCTGGTGGCTTCGACCATAGACACAAGAGTTTCTCTGATGTTATCTTCCCATCTTGTTCTTGGTCTGCCTCTTGCTCTAGGTACCTCTCCTCTTTTGTTATATGCCTTGTATGGTACAGCATTAAAGGTCATTCTTTCCAAGTGGGCAGACCATTTGATTTGCTGTCTTTGTATGCAATTTAGAATTGCTTCTGTGCTGACTTTATCTCGTATGACCTCATTGCGGATTTTATCTCTCCATCCCAAGTTTAGGATTTTTTTAAAGGCCTGAAAACTTGACTTTAACACCACATTAAATGGTATAAAGTAAAGGTCCCTTTATACGCCAGTGGCGCATTTCGCACATGAAGCTAGACTCATTTCTTTATAGACCAATCCACCCTCAATGGTTGACATGGTCAACATCATGCTGGCCACCTTTACTTCCCATGACTTCACCTGGTACTGATATAAGGGTGGGTCAACTTGGGAGCCAATGTCATCTTTGAAACTAATCGGGCACAGTGCAGATTTGAACCCACGACCTTTGAATCCCCAGGCGAGCATCTAGCCACTACACAATAGCGACTCTAAGCATTGTATAGAGGATTAAAATGACTGGTCGGCATAAACTGCTATTGTTTGTTGGTGCGTTTTGTGTAGATTAATGTGGCCATCAAGACATTTCATTCTGTCGGCAACCGGGATGACTTCAACTTGGAGGCTCATGTGATGCAGTCCCTGAAGCATGACTACATTGTGGAACTGCTGGGTGTCTGTGAAGGACCTCCACTGATGTTGGTGAGTATTCTTGGTCCTTGTTAATTAAGTGTTCTGTCTCTAGTTGTTTTTTATTTCAGGTGAAGGATATCAAACAAATTTACTTACCTTGAGGTTAGAATTGTTGGGGTCTGTTCGGGTGACCAGGGTTCGATTCCTCCATGTGATGATAGAAATAGTTTCTGTCCGGGGCAGGAAAAAAATTAACCTGCCCTTTCACATAAGAATGTAAAATCCCACTATTTGTTGTTTACTGTGTTATAGTTTTTAATAAAAGCCTAATGTCAGTTTTGATGAGATGGTCATATACTGGGTACATCCCAAGGAGAAAGCAAGATCACTTCAGAGGTCCGGGGTAGTTAGCATCCTTTGGATATTTTCTCCAGGTTATGCCAGTGTGTTGGGAAATAAGCATACAGATGGACTAGCTGGCTCTGCACCATTTGGTGGTGAATTGATGTATGACAAGTTAAATATTGTGAGAGCCCTTTGGAAGCGAGTGAACAGTGCAAAGGCGCAGATAGATCATTACGGTCTAAGAAGAATGGCTCTGCGAGGAATTACCAGGAGATCTGGCCGACACTTAACATTCAGGGTAAGAATGAGACGGATATACAATCAGATGGTTACTTGTACCATCGGAATTGGAACTCTTCGCTTGCTGCTGAAGATGGGGGACTGAGCAGTTAGGGGAGTGTCCCAAGTGGTGTGATGTTGATTCTTAATTCAACATTTAATGAGAAATGTAGAGAAAATTACCAAACAGGCATTTACTTGGTCGGCAAATAAACTGAGGATCCGAGGGTGTCCAGAAGGGAAGTGCTGTTGAGAGCATTCTAGAGGTGCTGGACCAGGTGTCATTTCATCCATGCCGTTGAAACAGTGGCACTGAATTGAATGATCTGGAAGTGTAGGTGGCGCGCTCTATGTGACATGTAATGGCACAACAAGATGGCGGTGATGAAATATTTTTATTTTTGTGCTTTTACATAAAGCCATACTGTTCTCTACCATCACTGTATTCTTGGAACTGTCCTTACTGCCAGTTGTACCACTTTTTAGGGCAGTGTAGACAGGGGGGGGGGGGGGCTTGAGCCTGGGAATTTAGGGCCCCATGGCTAGTGCTGTCGCCAAAAACTGTGCAGGTTAGGATGTTTATTGTTGCCCCTGGGAGCAAACCTATGTGATAGGGCAGTGTTCTAACCATGTGGCCAGATGCTGCTCTGTTCCTATAGTTTTCAATTAAAAGTCTACAAATTATTCTTAGCAGTTGTGATTTTACACAGAAACCCACTAACTGTTCTCAACCATTGTCACAGTATTAACCCTTTGCCCCAGGAAAACTAAAAATAGGTCATGACCTCTTTAGAATTTGAGGAAAATATTTGTATAACATTTTTTTTTTCTCAGGTCACTAACAAATTCATTAAAGATGTATTTAATTAAATTTTTAATTATTTTTCAAACTAAATAAAGATGTGTGAAAGGGGTAATCACTGAACATGAACAGGGTTAGGCATTAAATAGATTACATTTCATGGAGCCCTAAAAAACACACTTGTTGGGTGAAGCATGCCATGACATTTTCACTGATTTATGAGGAAATACTTCCTACACATCCCCACAGATGCAGACTCAGCCAATAACTCAGCATGTCTCAAACAGGTCACTATAGACAAGTCAGAAAAGTGGCATTTATGGGGAATTGGACCCAGCTGAAAGTTTAGGTTTTTGTACTTTCCTGGGAGAAAGGTTAAATCAGCAGTTATTGTTCTTATGGTTTGTTCTATTTATACACAGTTGTCCTTTTGGCCATTCTTTGTCAGATAGAAGAATTCATCCCAATGGGGTCCATGCTGGACTATCTGGAAGACCACCCGAACAATGTCAGGGTCAAGCAGGAACTCTACCTCTGGGCCTCACAAATTGCAGAGGGGATGATGTACTTGGAGACAAAGAGACTTGTGCACAGAGATTTGGCTGCAAGAAATATCCTCCTCTACTCATTAGAACGGGTATGTTTGTTGTCATATTGCCACGTGGTTTACAAGTATGTTACTTCTTATTTGTGTCAACAAGCCTTGAGTTGAAATAGCTACAAACCTACTGGGATCTGTTAGTCCCAGTCAATGACACTAACAGCAACAACACACATCCACAATAGACTGGGAGAACACAATGCTAAATTTGAATTGTTTTATTCTGAGTTATTTCACCTTTCTATTCATCTGTTCATTTTGCACACGTTTTCTTAACACTGCTGAATTATTCTCATGCTGTACACTCGTCACATCAAACCACATGTTTGTCTTTTTCAGCCAGTAGTTTTATTAAGCCCTGCCTCTTCAATACAGGCTTCCTGCTAACTAGCCGTTGACCTAAAACATCATCAAGTAAATCATTACTTCTTTCACTTTTCGTTATTGTTTATTTCAAGGTAATCTTCATTGCACATCAAGCCTACCCGCATTTGCTCTGATCTTCTCCTAAGCATGTTTCATATTGTGTTTAGGCTGGCGACTCCTGGTCTGTATTAATTTGTTTAGCGACTTTGAGCTCTTGAATGGTTTTCACACCGCACTGTTCCAATTTATATTATCATTATCACACTTACTTTTATTATTATTTTTCCAGCCTTCCTTTATACTATTTTATTTTATTAATTCCGCATCACCTTTTTAAAGTTTCTCACGAGACCACCCTAGTGGGCACTGGTGGTTGGAGTACTCTCCCCTTTGTTATTTTTGTGTAGTTAGGTCATTTCGTGAAAAGCCCTGGCCGAAATATTGATTTGTGTGTTTTGTGCACAGTGTTCTGCTTTCCCATTTCGTTAAGCTTTTTAGTCACAGATTACTGGATTCATTGCTCCAGTTGGTGTGTTTGAGGTCATCAGTGCATGTTGTCTCTCGTAAAGCATTGATTACGTCCATTATTATATAACGACATTGAAATCAGTTCAGAGAAAAAACACGAAATTCAAGAAAAGACACAATTTAGAAGTCAGAAAGAAATAACATCAGAGGCGCTAGAGGTGCCAATTACACTTAATGAACTGGAGTTGGCCATTTCAAAGCTGAAAATGCGGAAGTCACCAGGAGCAGATGGTATATCAAACGAAATGATCAGAAACTTAGGAAAAGTAGCCAAAACAAAGCTTTTGCAGATATTTAATGCTTGCTGGGCAACAGGGAATGTTCCACAGATCTGGAGAGAGGCAATTATGATACCCCTCATAAAGCCTGGGAAAGACAGTTCTAATGCCTCCAACTACAGACCAATCAGCCTCACAAGTTGTCTCTGTAAAACAATGGAGCGCATCACCAACCTCAGACTACAGTGGTACATTGAAAGTGAAAACATCATTACACCACAGCAGGCGGGCTTTAGAAAGTTCTATTCTACGGAAGACCAGACAACATACCTCTCCCAAGAAATAGAGGATGCTTTTCAAGATAAGAAACTGGTACTCGCGGCATGGATAGATTTAAGGAAAGCTTTTGATAAGGTTTGGAAGGAGGCTTTTGAAGAAATTGAGAAACTATAAAATAAATGGAAAAATGTACAATTGGATTAAAGCATATCTACATAACAGAAGAGCCCGGGTACAGGTAGATGGTTTTAAAAGTAAAAAAGTTCTACTGCGACAAGGCGTCCCTCAAGGTGGTGTCCTGTCGCCCACACTTTTCCTTTTATTTATCAACGATCTGGTTGCTGAGATACCAAATGGAATCAAAATGGCAATGTACGCCGACGACCTGGTACTGTGGTGCACCAATGAACATGCAACGATAGCCACAAAAACACTACAGCGAGCTACAAATGCACTTGAGGCATGGGCCAATAGATGGTGTGTCAGCATCAACACAGACAAATGTAGCACCACACTATTCACCCTCTCCCCAAAGCAAAAAGCCGGCACCATCAAAATAAACGAAATACCCCTGTGAGATGATAAAGAGCCCACATACCTAGGAGTCACATTTGATGACAGGTTGACATGGAGAAAACATATCAACAAGGCAGCAACCAAAGCCAGGAGGAAGACAGCAATACTAAGAAAACTAAGTGGAACCACATGGGGAGCAGATGGGAAAATACTCAATAAAGTATACAAGCAGAGCATACTTCCACACTTGGAATATGGGTCAACTGCATGGTGTTCAGCATCTAGTACCACATTAAAGGAGTTAGACAAAGTGCAAAATCAAGCGCTCAGAGTCATCACAGGAGGGATGAAATCAACCCCCATATTAGAAATGGAGAAAGCTGGGAAAACACAGGCACTGAGAGAACGCAGAGATACAAAGTTGCAAATACAAGCTGAAAAGTTCCTCAGTATGCCAGATCACCCGATGGAAAATAGATTTAAGAACCTAGCCTTGGGACGGTTAAAAAGAAGCAGCTTTATACACCAAGCAAAAAGAATATGTAGACAAACTCCTGACCTTCCAGAAATTGGCTGCCCACTAAAAAGTATTCCGGAACAAACCCCATGGAGAGAAAAATGTAAACTAACGGTACAAATCCAGACAAATGTGAAAGGGATATCTGACAAGAAAGAGCAAGATAGTGTACAACGCAAAATGGCCACCCTCAGTTATATTGATGAAGAATGCCCACAAGAACAATGGGTCAGAGTCTATACAGATGGGTCCGCAGAAAGTGCAGTTAGAAATGGTGGTGCTGGAGTGTACATCGAATTCCCAGATGGTACTAGGGATAAGTCCAGCGTACCAACCGGGAAGTACTGCCATAACTACGATGCAGAAACCCAGGCTATTAAGATAGCTACAGAGAAACTGCTAAATACCAACCTTGGCTCACAGTATGTGGTAATGCTTACAGATGCTAAATCAGTACTTGAAGCACTCCAGTCTAGGAAACTACCAGAATTGCAAACACTGCTGACACAACTCAGCGTTCAGCGAAGAGTCGTAATGCAGTGGATACCGTCTCATTGTGGAGTGCCTGGAAATGAGAAAGCTGATCAACTGGCAGGGGATGGTGCGAAAAAAGAGCAGCCAGATGTACCAGTCACATACCACCAAAAGAAAAGAATCATTAAATCGATCAGGAAACCACCAGCCCCAGCACAAGACGACTATTTTATTATGGACAGACCAGAACAAGTCATTATCTTCCGCCTCAGAACAGGGGCACAACCGATTACGTAACCACATGTTCACAAAATTCAAGATAGGTGTATCAGCCATGTGCACCTGTGGAAATGTGCCCCAGACCGCAGAGCATGTACTCCAGGACTGCACCGAATTTGACACATTAAGGCAAACCTTTTGGCCAGAAAGAACAACAGTGGAACGTAAACTCTATGGACCACTGAATGAACTAACAACGACAGTGAAATTTATACAAGAGACAAAACTGCTGATATAGATAACTTATTTCAGGCGAACGAAAGAAGAAGAAGAAGTCCATTATGTCTCAAGAAGGTCCACCTCCTAGGGTGGCACTGCCTGCATCAAGCCAGAATTTGGTTTCATATTGACCTTGGCTTCAGCGCCAATTCACTCTTAAATGCTTGCCAGGTATTGTCCTGGAAAGTAAAGGTGCTCGGCAGGATGTTGACATCACCCACCAAGTGTCACTTGATCTGTAACAAAAATGAGAATCTAGCTTCATGTATCTGGAATGCCATTGACTTAAAAAGGGTTCTTTACTTTTACTTACAAGGAGAGAGACAGTACCTAGAGAAAAAAAAAATCTGATTTCACTGAAAGTCCCTGAATTAAACCCTGTTGATGTTTGAATACAAATCTCTTTCTTCTTCTTCTTCTTCAGGGTTCCAAGCCCCTGAAGTTTATTCCTGCAGATATCACCCGCCTACACTTGTCTCTCTGGATGGCCTTCTTTTTGCAGTTGGTGACACCAAGTGTTTGCAAATCTCTCTGGACATTATCTCTCCACCCTCTTCTTGGTCTGCCTCGGGGTCTGTGACCATTCATCTCTCTTGTGAATACAGTTTATACCTCTCTGTCATTCTCTCAATATGCCCATCCATTTAAGTCTATTAGATATTAGATGCCAGTGGTTGGTGGTGATTTAAACAGATTATGAATTTTGTTGTTGCTTCTCACTCTCCATTCCCCGCTGCTTGCATCTTTGATGGCTCCAAAGATTCGTTCTAATACTCTGTTTTCAAAAATGTGTAATGATGCTTCATCTCTTTTAGTTTTAACAAAAATGCTTTGTGAAAATTATGCAATTATTGTAAGGGAGAGTATTAAACAGTCTGAAAATTATAAATACTTTAATCAGTATATTGTTTGTTTGTTTATTGTGTGTATAGTATTTCTACAGCCTCAAGGGTTCCCCCTCTTGTTTGTTTATGTAAATACTTATGCATGCCATCAAGGACTACTTTTGCCATATGTGGAATTTCAAAAGCTTTCGTATAATTGTAGTAAGATTTGATTAAAAATCCACATAAACCCATATCTTAATTTTTTTTTTTTAATATTTTGTTTTAGTTTCCTGTTGTGGAACTTTCTTAGTTAGTGGATGAGTTTGATTTCATTTTTCTTGATTACTGAGATTGAGTTTCCTCAGGGGACAGTTTATTTTAAAAACCCACTTTCATGGTTCTTGGAAGAGATGATGGGGTGGAGGGAGCTCTTTTTCTTGAACTCTGTGCCATGTGGCATTGGTAGCCATCCACATCGTGTACTTTCAGTCAGCTTTGACACATAGATCTTCCATGCCACTTTGTCAAACTGTCCCTCTGCCTCTCCTCCCCTGCAACTTTCCTACCGTCATGATGTACTCCAGTTTTCTCTTTCTCATTACATGACCAAAGAATGTAGATTGTCTATTTCTGATGTGGGCAATCAGTTTTCTTTGTGAGGTCAGTTTCTTTTAAGACGCTCCTTACTACATTATATTTCCAGAGAGAGGCATGGGTACACTGTAGCTCATCTTCGTTGTGTAGACGGCACACAGTTGTGTATGTGTTGTTATCCTCAATGTGTATTGAACAGCATGTTTCATAACTTCATTACCTTGCTTTCCATCAGAAAGAAGAAGTGCCTTGCTGACTTGCGTGGGCAATCATGTCTCTCCACAATCTGCTATCCACAGCTATTTGTTTGTGTGTTGGCACCCCTCCATGCCACAACGAAAGGCTGTCAAGAATCTTCTCAAACTGCCTTCCTCTGTCTCTCTTTCCACAAATCTTTCCAGTGTTCACAACTTGTTCCATTTTCCCGCTTCTCATAACATGATTGACAAATTATGACTGTCCCTTTCTAATGTTTGTGATAAGCTGTCTTTGAGCACCTGCCTCTTTTAAAACATCTGGGTGACTCTTCTTATCTGTCCAAGAGATTCTAAGGTTTCTTCTGTAAAACCACATCTCAGGGACCTCAGGATATTGTTCAGCTTGTTTATTAATTGTCCAAGTTTCACAGTTGTATATTAAAACTGGTCTATATAGCTTGTGAGAATTCTTGTCCTTACCTCCAACAGATAGCTTTGCATTGAACCTGACTCTCTTATTGCAGGTGAAAATTAGCGACTTTGGCCTGTCCAGGGCGATGGGTGCAGATAAGGAGTATTATAAAGCCTCTAAAGGTGGACGCTGGCCCATTAAGTGGTTGGTATTAGTCGTTTTGTTGTTTCATCATCATCATGCGGCATGTAGATAAGATTGGATAATGATCATTAGCCATCTCATGTGGTCACTGGTCTTAAATCATACCTTTCAGAAAGTGTGTAAGTTGTGAATGTAATACAAGTATCTAATAGTGGTTTCCACCGGTTTTTCGCTAGTTTGTGGACAGTTGAATTACCAAAGCTGAATATTGAATTAAGAATCAACATCATAGCACTCGGAACACGCTCATCAACGCTCTGTCCCCATCTTCAGCAGTAAGTGAAGACTTCCAAAAATGGTTCCAGTAACTGTCTGATTGTACATCCATCTCGCTTTTCCCAAAATTGTCAAACATCTGCCAGATCCCCTAGTAACTCCTCGCAGCGCCATTCTGCTTAGATTGTATTGATCTGTCTGTGCCTCTGCACTATTTACTTGCTCCCAAATAGCCCTCACAACACCTAGCTTGTCGTACATCAATTCACCAAATGCAGAACCAGCTCATTTCCCAACACACTGGCATGACCTGGAGAAAATATCCAAAAGATGCTAACTACCCTGGACCTCTGAAGTTCTTCTTCTTCTTTCGTTCGCATGAAATAAATTGTCTATATCTGCAAAGCCGTCTCTTGTATGAATTTCACTGTCTTTTGTAATTCACTAAGTGGCCCGTAAAGTTTGACTTCCACAAGTGTCTCTTTTGGCCAAATGTTTTGCCTGAAAGCGTTGAATATGGGACAGTCTTGAAGGATGTGATCTGTTGTTTCAGGTGCCAGTCCACAAGTACACATGGCCGATTGGCCAATCTTAAATTTGTTGTACATGTGGGAGCGAAGTCTATTGTGCCCTGTTCTAAGGCGAAGGATAATAACTTGCTCTGGTCTGTCCATAATATGTGCCAGTTTCGGTGGCATTCTGATTGATTTGATCATTCTCTTCTTCTGTTGATAAGAGACTGGTATGTCAGGTTGTTCTTCAGTTGCACCTTCCTTAGCTAGTTTATCAGCTTTTTCGTTTCCGGGAACTCCACAGTGGGAAGGTATCCACTGCATTACTAATTTACAGCGGTTGCCTAGTTCGGATAATAGTGTCCGTATGGTTGGTAATTTTCCAGACTGGAGTGACTGAAGTACTGCTTTTGCATCTGTCAGGAATACCACTGGTTGTGAAAAATACCCTGTATTTAGTAGTTTCTCTACCGCTATCTTGATGGCTTGAACTTCTGCATCATAGTTGTGACAGTGCTTTCCCGTTGGTAATTTGGCTGTATCCCTGGTATTATTAGGATACTCAATGTACACTCCCGCACCTCCGTTTCTGACTGCGCTTTCTGCTGACCCATCTGTGTAAACACGGACCCAATGGTTCTGCGGGTATTCATCATCAAGTAAACTGAGGGTGGCTGTTTTGCGCTGCACACTGTTTTGTTCTTCCTTGTCAAATACCCCTTTCACTTCAGTCTTGATGTGTATTGGAAACTTATACTCCTCTCTCCAGGGGGTCCGTTCTGGGACAGCATTTAAGGATCTATCAGCTGCAGGTAAATCAGTGGTTTGTCTGCCGAGCCGTTTGGCCTGGTGGATAAAACTACTTCTCTTTAGTCGTCCCAAAGCTAAATTTTTGAATCTTTCATTCATAGGGTGACTGGGCATACTAAGAAACTTTTCTGCTTGTAAAAGCATCTTGGTGTCTCTGCGTTCACTTAGTGCTTGGGTCATCCCCATTTTCTCCATCACAGCTATAGGTGTTGATTTCATACTGCCTGTGGTAACTCTGAGTGCTTGATTTTGCACTTTGTCTAATTCTCACCTCTGAAGTGATGCTTGCCACTCTTCACTGAGCATGCCTGTCTCTACCTTTCTTAGCATGCTCTGTGAGTCAGTTACAACCACGACATGAGTGTACAGCTGATTCTCAAGCCAGCGGAAGGCAGCAGTGACTGCCTCCACCTTACTGAAGCTGTGACCTGGAAAGACAAACCCCATCAAGAAAACAGCACTAGAAGGTTGTGTTATATGTTTGATTGTTGCTTGAAGATCATTTTCATTGCACACACATCCCTCTTTGGTTGATTGTGAATTTTCTGGAAGACAAGAGTTTTATATGAAGAACAATTCATTGAGATTTGGATGGTCTGAACCCCAAAAAAAAAGTTTTATAATTCTAATTCTCTTTCGTTGACCACTTTCAGCTAGGTCCGCTCGCATTTCTGCTCACTTTCCTTTCAGCTATATTTGTGGTGACGTTTTCTGGTCTCGATCTCATTTGGTTTTGAATTGTGTTCAATATTGTCGCTTTCTATTTGTTGTGGTTTCCGCTCTTGCTGTTGCTTTTGTAATTTGGCTGGCCCTGTGCTGCGCTCAAGATGATTGGGTGTTGAATCGATTTATTGTGGTATTCCTTGGCTGTTTGTTGTTTCCGGGGAAAGTAAATTGCCTATCCTAATAAGGACCGGAGGTCGATTGACTTGGGCAGGTACTGGTGGCAATACTGGTGAGGTCTGGTATTATTTGGTGATTTTCTCGTATCCTTGTACTACTCCTACATAGGGTTTCGGTAATTTTGGCCTTGGTTGTGTCGTATCTGGTATTAGTGTTTGAAGTAACGGTGTCGACCTCGTTTGATTTCAGGTTTTGGCTGTCGATATGGTTCCTCTGGTGATGACCAAAGAACATCATCATCTTGCAGTTCTGAGTTAAAGAAGTTCGGGTCCTCCAGCTCCCTGATGCGTTGGTTTATTTGGTTAGTAGTTTCTACCGGAAACTGTTTCATCAGCGGCGTTGGGGTTTTCTTATCTGGTGTTTGATGTGGCTTTTTCTGGGTCTCGGCTCCTTGTATTTGCTGCCTTCTTGTTGCCTCTTTCCGTGCTTTCTCTCTTTCTTCCATCACTCTGTTGGTTGCTTGCAGTTCCTTATTAAGTCTGTTGTTTTCTTCGTATGCTCTTCGTAACTTTTCCTCTGTTTCAGCTAGTGCCTTCTTGATCATTGCGACTTCTTTCGCGAGTAGTTGTTGGTTATCCCGCCGATCATTGATGCCCGCCTCGTCTTCCCTTGCTTTAGTTGGTTGTTCCTTTTGTGTCTGGATAGTGGCCAGTGCATTCATGATGTCCTCCTTGAATTTCGTCATCTCTGCTGTCATCCGTTTCTGGGTGTCAAGAGTCGCCTGCATTATAGCTCTCAGTCCTGTTATTTCATCTCTGTCTTCATCTCGTTGGGATTTGGATGCTTCTTTCTCGTCTCTGAGAGCTTGGATGTCACTTTTGAGTTGAGCCACCTCGTTGCTCAATTTGGTGGTAATGGCTGCAGTTATGCCTTGGGTTGCTTCGTGTCTTCTGCGGGCCTCATGGTATGGAATCTTTTCCCGTATGGCCGTGGTTGCTATTTCTCTGCATTGTTGCAGATAAGGGCACCCCAGGTACCTGGTGCTGTGCTGGCCGTAGCAGTTTGCGCACTTCCTGTTCAGATTGGGAGACCTAAAGTCTGTGTCCAGCTTTGCCAGCGGGCAATTGTTGAAGGCATGGGGTTGTGAACAGTATCGGCATACTTCATGTTCGCTCACACAAGTGGCCCGGGAGTGCCATGCTTTTTGGCAACGAGAGCACTGGATCACCTGTGGCACGTATTGCTCTGGTCTTTGCATTCTTTGATTTAGGTAGACTTTATCCGGGATGTGTTCTCCTTCCGATGTTATCACCGCCACTGGCAATGAATGCCGTTTTGAGCCCAGTCTCTCTGCTTGGTTGATGTTGACATTGGGGTTTTCTTTCCTTATTTGTTGCAGAATTTCTTCGTTGCTCCATTGCAGGTTGACTCTTCGGATCACCCAGCGTCTTACATTCTGGAAGATTGTAGCCGTCACAGTTATCTCCTCGGATAGTCGGAGTTCTTTCTTGCCGTCGTGTTGGATGTCATGTCTGAGGTGCGGTTGGTTCTGTTTAGTGAAGCTATCACTCCTTCTCGAGTTCTCCTAATCTTTGCGATTGCCCTCTTGCCTAATATGATCTCCAGCATATTGATCAATGTTAGCTTTGCCAGTGTAGTGATTGCTGTCCGGCCTGAGCTGGTCTGTCGTAGAAATATTGTGGCAGGAAATTCATAGCTGCCTGTCTTTCGTCGATCTGGAGATGTTTGTGGACTTGGCTGTGTTGGTTCAGGTGACGCTGGAACGTCACTCAGGGCCTCACTGGTAGTCGGGGCGTCTTCCTGTGGTTCGGTAGTAACTGTCTGCGTCTTCCTGGCCTCCGAGTTAGATCGGGTAGATCGGTCAGTGGGTTGTTTCCTCTGTCCGTTGCGCTTTCCGTTAGGTTTGTTTCTCCGAGACATGGTGCTTGCGGAGAAGGCCTCTCGCTCTGGCTAATGCTTTGTATTGTGTTATGTAGGTTTCAGTCTTATCTGATGACAATTGCGGAGAAGTCCTCTCGCTCTGCCTATCCTCCAAGGGACCAGCATGTACTGTATTGTGCAGGTATCAATACTATCTGATGATTGGCTGATATGGTGGAGCCGCGATGTAATTACTAAGTCTTCTTTTTATTCTCCTTGCCAATAGTTTGCAGATGGGAAAGTCACAGGCCTGTATGAGGACTCTGGTGCAACACTTGTCTTTCACTGTTCCACACAGCTTGGTTCTATTGACATTTCACCCTGCCAAACCTGGCATCTCGCTGCTGCATGTAACGAGCATGTCTATTGCACATGTTCTGTGGGGCCTGTCCACATGGGCAAAATCTGGAATCCCCAGTCATGAATTTCCTGTACATATGGCTGCAGAGTCTGTTGTGTCCGGTACGCAATCTAAATTTAATGATCTCTTTCATTCATATTAGGAGATTGAAGACTTCTTTTACAAAGTGAGGTGGATAAATCATTATCATTATGTAGCAGATCCTTTGCAGGACGTCGCTCTCATCACAGTCGGCTTGAAAGAAATTTGGTCTCTCACCAGTTCTCCCGCCTCATGTACTTTCATACTCAAGGAATGGTATCTATAGTTGAATGGTTGATCTATAGATGGTCTAAATCCTGAAAACAAACAAAGACATGCCTTTTAAAAGGGAGTTTAATGTACAGTTTTCTTTTTAACCTGATACCAAAATACTATCTCATTGGTGACTGTGTTGCAGAAGTCTTCATCACATATTCATTTATATCTGGTGCTGGTTTTTTACAATTATGGTGCGGCATAGTGAACCTTGGCATGTGCCTGGAGACCAGTGTTAGAGACATGGTCTACTGCTTCCTAAATTTATCATAGCATACTACTTCTGGCGGCGTCCGTGGCTAAGGCGTTGCGAGTCCAACTTGTAAGCCAGCATACCGCTATCGAAACCTACTGCAGTCTGCGTGGATTTTTGTCGTGGTATGGGACGTCGCAGGTCGACCCAGCCTAAAATGGGTACCAGGATGGGCTGTCCTGGGAAAGTAAAGACAGCCGGCGTAATGCTGACCACATTACCCACAGAGTGCTGATGGTCTGTAAAAATATGGGACTCTCTGCCCATATGCCCGATGCGCCGAAAGGCGTGAAAAGGGAACTTTACTTTTTTACTTTACTTATACTACTTCTATGTTCACCATTGAAAGGGCGGTTAGTATCTTGAGTTGTTGTTTACAGCTAGGCTGTGAAAATCGCACCTTTCACCCCCTACACATCCAGTGTCAGCAAACCTCTATTTAGGCCTTTTACAACATGCTTGTTAGAGTGTGGCAGTGGATCTATTCTTCATATTCTCCAAAATGAGGCTGTCGAACCCGCAACGCAAGCCATGTTGTACAAAAGTGTAAATGCATGTGAGGTGGCTCGAACACAACAATAGTAACAGGAAGTCAAATATCTTTGTGCGTTGGCCTCTTTTGCAGTATTTGGAATTTGGTGATCCTAGCGGATGCTTAAGATTCTGCTGAGAAATCACATCTCTGGTCACCACTTAATGAACTCTCGAAGAAGAAATATAGGGTCAAAGCAAAACATATTTCACTTGAAAGTGATTGTAGTGTTTTCATTATTATTTTAACCTTTCTATGTCAGTTGGTTTTAGCAGACATCCAGTAGGGGAAGTAACTACTGTGAATGATTTTGAGGTCAGGTCTTTCAAACTTGTTGAATATTTCATATAAGTAGCCATAGAAGAATACCAAATTTCTTTAGTATCTTCTAGCTCCTGGTATTGGCCAGTGATCACAGGTCATTATATTCTACTCTCTTACCACTTAATATAGATCTAAGTCGAGAGTTTCCTTCAACATCATCAGAGGCAGTAAGAGGAAAGTTGTCTTGTATCTACATTGCAGGTATGCACCTGAGAGTGTCAACTTTGGCCATTTCTCCCATGCCAGCGACGTCTGGAGCTATGGGGTGACTCTTTGGGAGATGTTCTCTTACGGTGGTGCACCTTACGATGACATGACTGGTGTTGAGGTAAATGTATGAGAGTGTGTACGTGCTTGCTGATGTGTGTGAATATGCAGTGTAGCCTTGAGTGAATGAATATGAGTATGTACCATATTCTTCTGTGTATAAGACACCCCCTGCATAAGACAGGCCATATTTTTTTTTTTGGTAGCCCTAATTAGGAAACATATATTAACACATTCTGTGTATAAGACGTCCCCTGCATAAGACAGTCCATATTTTTTTTTTTGTAGCCCTAATTAGGAAACATATTTATTAACATATTCTGTGTATAAGACACCCCCTGCATAAGACAGTCCATATTTTATTTAGCCCTAATTAGGAAACATATTTATTAACATATTCTGTGTTTAAGATGTCTCCCATATTTAAACTGAACAAGTTTAGGAAGACATATTGTGGTATATACACGTAACAGTGTGGTATGTGTGCATGTTTGTCTTAGTTTTGTAACAATGAGAAAAATAACTATATGAGTGAGTGAGGCAGTCAGAAAGAGAGTGTAAAGTAGAGACACACAATAAGACAGAAAAAGAGATAGAGATAGAGAGTGTGTGAAATGACACAGAGAGAGAAAGAATTTACAGTAAAGCATAGATCACGGCTATTGGGCTAAGTTTACCCAGGGCAAAAAATCTTATTCTTCTTCACATTCACCGGCTGTAAACTCTAGCAGAAAGTTCTAGTCGTTCATCCACCTCTGGACATCCGTCTTGTTCCAGAGCTTGAATGTTGTGTGCACATTCATTTTACAGGGCTGACTTATTTGTATGCACATTGTTGGTTCCTTGCATCTCAGCAGATGCGCCCGCCCACCTGTGTGCCTGCACATATTGAGTGTAAGATACATGAATATAGAACTTGGGTGTTTGTATGTGTGTGTGTGTTTGCCTGCACATATTAAAAGTATGATAGATGGATTGGAACTTGGGGGGGGGGGGATGCGTGCTTGCGTCTGCACATATTAAATGTAAGATAGATTAATCTGGAACTTGGGTGTGTGTGTGTGTCTGCACATATTAAATGTAAGATAAATTAATCTAGAACTTGGGTGTGTGTGTCTGCACATATTAAATGTAAGATAAATTAATCTAGAACTTGGGTGTGTGTGTGTCTGCACATATTAAATGTAAGATAGATTAATCTGGAACTTGGGTGTGTGTGTGTGTGTGTCTGCACATATTAAATGTAAGATAGATTAATCTGGAACTTGGGTGTGTGTGTGTCTGCACATATTAAATGTAAGATAAATTAATCTGGAACTTGGGTGTGTGTGTGTCTGCACATATTAAATGTAAGATAGATTAATCTGGAACTTGGGTGTGTGTGTGTCTGCACATATTAAACGTAAGATAAATTAATCTGGAACTTGGGTGTGTGTGTGTCTGCACATATTAAATGTAAGATAAATTAATCTGGAACTTGGGTGTGTGTCTGCACATATTAAATGTAAGATAGATGGATATCCAGGCTAGGATGTTTGTGCATGAGTATATTAGATGAAAATGGAAGGGTAGGGGGAGAAAAAGAGTATGTAGTCTTGTAGGAAGGAAGGAAATCAATTACTAGATTTATGAGTAATTGAACAAATTATAATGTGAAAAATCTGTATGTGAATATGCATCTTGCAATGAAAGATCAAAAGACTTGGTAAGTGAGGGAAATTGTATGAAGTGTATGCAAAATCTTGCATTGCACTTCATATTTCTGCTTTTTTCTTTTTTCCATCGGAGCATAACCCTGGGTCTGACATACATCCTCGTATGGGATGAAATCCAGCGCAGCGAAGTTAATTATCTTGCCATTAACCCTTTCTGTCCTAGACAAAGCATTATGTATGACTGGGTATTAGTCGCATGTACCAGTCAACATGTTATAATGTTGTTACATGTTATGTTCCTCATGTGGGTTTCATGGCCCCATTGTGGGTAAAGCAAGAACAGACCCACCGCCTGCCCAACAAGCATGTCGTAAGAGTCAACTAAATGGGGACTTCTTTCAGGTCAGAGTGCATCTGCCTGAGAGGCAAGGAACCAACAGTTTGCATACAGTTAAGTCAGATCTGTTGAAGGGATGTGCACACAACACTCAGCTTCTAGAACAAGTCTAAAGTCCAAAAGTGGGTGAACAACCAGAACTTTCTGGCCGGAGTTTACAGCCGGTGAAGGCGAAGAAGAAGAAAAAGACATCTTATGTCCAGAGAGCGACTCAGAAGAAACATGTTAGTTTCCTGCAAGGGTTGTATATTTGGCTCCTCTGGAAGTAGTATATCCATGAGTTTACCACTGCTATTCTCAACTCCATCAAACATTAGCTAGGGCCATGTAGGGTGGAAAAAGGTAATGCTGTAGTAATTGATTTAATGTTTTGCCAGGTAATCAAATTTATTGAGGATGATTGCCGGTTAGCAAAGCCAGAAAAGTGCCCAGATGTGGTGTACAGTGTCATGCTGAAGTGTTGGTCTTTTGAGCCTGCGCAGCGGCCTACTTTCTCCATGCTGAATAAACACTTCAATGAAGAACCTGAGTATGTCAGTGCCAGAGAGTTAAGAAAAACAACAAGAAATACATAAACATCTCAAATGTGTTTTTTTTTGTATTATGTAACATGTATATTTTTTTCCAGATCTTGCTTGCTTGCAGTGTTTCAGAAGCTAAATTGTATCTGTTTTTTGCTCATTCAGAATTAATATATACTGAAGTTTTCATTGAGACATTATGTCTAAAGTATAGACTTACATGCATCTGTTTTGTCCTGCAATAACTCTGAAGGGAATTCCATGTTTAGTTTCTCTTCAGTTGATGTTCATGTTTAAGATATGTTATTTTGATGTTATTCTTAAATTAAAATGTTTATTACCCTTTCACAGCCAGTTAATTCTTTACTCTGTTCATGTTCAGTAACAACCTTCCTTCCTAGTGTGCTGAACTCTCTCTTTCTCTCTCTCTTTCTCTCTCTCTCTCTCTCTCTCTCTCTCTCTCTCTCTCTCTCTCTCTCTCTCTCTCTCTCTCTCTCTCTCTCTCTCTCTCTCTCTCTCATGTTTAAGATATGTTATTTTGATGTTATTCTTAAATTAAAATGTTTATTACCCTTTCACAGCCAGTTAATTCTTTACTCTGTTCATGTTCAGTAACAACCTTCCTTCCTAGTGTGCCTCTCTCTCTCTCTCTCTCTTTCTCTCTCTCTCTCTCTCTCTCTCTCTCTCTCTCTCTCTCTCTCTCTCTCTCTCTCTCTCTCTCTCCCCCCTTGCCTAAAAAATATCTCTCGCCTAGCCTACAAAAATATTTATCAGATAACACATACATACCCTGACCCCACAGGGGCTCTAAAGCTGTGAGAAAATTATGAACTCAAAATGGCTTTATAATTTATATTTTCTTCACAAAATAATCCTCCTAAATGCTATTTTTTATAAATATATTCATACCCTCATCTCATAAATGCTATTATGACACAGACACAACCAATTGCAGTAACTAGGCTTGTTGAGCACAGGCCACTGTAGAAATGCCAGATTTCAGGCTTTGCTTGGCCTGAGGGTTAATGTAATAATTGTAATTGTTAACAAGCCGCCTGAGATGCTGCTGCTTTTGATCCACCTGGAGTTGTCTGCATTTCTAGCTTGGAAAGAAAAGGGAGAAAGCCTTGGGAAAGTAATGTCTCACATCCTCTTTCTGACAAACTATTTTTTTGCAAGATGTATGAAATTCACTGAAAGTATAATTCATCGTGCCCTTAAGACAATCTTATTTTCTAAACAAGTACCGCCTACTTCTTTGACCTTACACAGATGCAAAATAAGGACAAGCACACTTTGCCTGAATTCAGTTTTCTTCTGTGCACCTAACCTTTTCTTCACGGCATAAATAACATCTTCAGGTTTATCTTGCTGTTCTCTGAACCCTACAACCAACAGTGCTCCTGTTGACTGCACAACTTCCATAGGAAGCAGACAAATATTTTGTTTGTTTAGCAGTTTTATTTTTCACAACCAGAAATTCTAAAACAGCATTTTTTAACACACCTTTTTCTCGCAGGATTTTTTAAAGGATTTCTGCAGCTGTGCTTTTTATTGGAATGTTATTCCATATTGTACATGGTGTTTCTAAAGTCTCACTACACTTTGTATGCAGAACAAATCTGAAAAAAAGAAGGACTTGACATCAAAAATTGTGCTTAAAAATTTTTTAAGTACATTACAATAGCTACTGCTATGGTCTAACGCTGTTTTTGGAAAAGCTGGAAAGTACCAATGAAATTTTCATTGAAACAGGTGTTGGAAATTGTTAGCACTCTTCAACACATGACCCCACGTGCAGCCATTTTAAAAACACATGTTCATCAAATGAAATTGTGTTCTCACTACATACCACCATATATTTCGTCCTTTAAAGGACGAAATTTTTTTGTTATTTGAAGCCCCACCCTGGTTTTTGCCAGGGGCCGCAATATAGGCAGGCCATAAATATGGCCAATTGTCTGAACGCGGTTTCTGGGACCTCTCCACGGCGATCCTCATCCACATGGTGGCACTTTGTGTCATCGGGTGTTTATCGCTTGTGTGATGTCCTGGTGGGGTAGATAGTCAGTCAGTCAAATGAAATTGTGTTTTCTCCCATTAATAACACAATTCTCCAGCAGACAATAGCCATTCACTGCATATTCCTTCATGACTGACTGTGGAGCACATTTAAAATAAAATAAAGTCATGTTCTTCATTTTTCAAATTTTTCTGTATACAAAGTTTAGTGCGGCTTTACAAACACCCTGTATTTGCAGTACAAGAATTTCAGATTTGAATGTGTAAAATTTCCTATTTCTATCCACCTTTTTTGCTGAGGAACAAATGTAGGGGCATTACTTTTTGAATGCCATTAATATATCCCAGTATTTGTCTGCTTTGTCTCATCCTTTTACTTTTCGATGCCTTAACTCCTTAGCACAAAGACCAGTAGTGCTCCTGTTGACTGTAAAACTTCCATACACAGCATACAAACGTTATAAATCTTTACCAGAAATGCTGCTGTAACACATGTCCTTGCATGCTTTTTAAATGAAATTGTGCAGCTGTTCTTTAAATTTTAAATATGCAATACAACATCTTCAAATTTGGTGCATGTAAAATATCCTGTTCCTATCTACATTATTTGCTGAAAAAAGAAAGTGTGTGGAATTGCTTTCCCAAGGTCACTCATATATCCCAGGATTTGTCTTATATATTTTTTTCCCAACTAGGATTTGTGAATTCCATAACATTATAGAAACACATTGTATGCGATATTGCCATGGTAGATGTAATATGGAGCATATGTATATGAATGATAAAGGATGCAGTTATGACATATACTGCGGTCAGTTCTTACCATGCAACTAGTCATTCATGACCATGATAGCCGCTCCTTCTCGAGAACTAGCATGGGCAGCAGAGCAAACAGCCACACGCGTAATAATTGTATCAGATTCCATCAACATGCTTCAAAAGATAGCAGCATGCGTTTGCCCTCTGAATGGGTTAAAAGCTTTTGAAAATTACACTTAACCTCCCTCCCCTCGATCTACACACCTGATCATGCTGGGGTAAAGGGTAATGAGCAAGCGGATCAACTTGCAAGCAGTGCATGTGGGAAGAAGCATGGACAGAGCAGATATCATCAGCACTGTATGGAATGTAGGTAAAATAATAAAGGACCCTTTTCCACGCCTTTAGGCATATAGGGCTAGACCTATATTTTATAGACCGATCGGCACAAGATGGGTGATGTGGTCAGCATGACGCTGGCCGCCTTCACTTCCCGGAACTGCACCAGGTACCCACTCAAGGCTGGGTCGACCTGGGAGACAAAGTCATTTTTGAAAAAAGTCCGGCTCGGCCAGGGAGCGAACCCATGACCTTCCAATCCGCGGAGAGCGTCTAGCCGCTTTGCCACGGCGACTCCCTCTGTATGGAATGGACTAGTGGATAATGATGAACTTTTGACCCTAACATGATTGCTTGACATGGAAGTAAAGCACAAATTTGCCGTCTCCAAGGCTGAGATAGAAGACATTATAATTATAACCTGCCTCTCATGGGAACAGTGAGTCGATGTACCTTGGAGTGGCTGCTGCATCTGAAGATTGAACACTCATGGTTATGCCCAGTGTTGATTGTGATAACATAACATATAACATAACATAACAAATGCTTTCAGACAACCTGGATGTCTTCTGTATCCAATTTTCTAGTTAGGATTTTTGAATTCCATATTGAAATACAACTTATGTGGTTTCATGTTGCCAGAATGGATGTTATACAATGTTTACTTATATGAATGGTATTGGTTCACTGAGTTTTGACTTTTGTAATTTTCATTTAGCAGTTATTGTCGTGGCGGTGTCCTAGTTATACATTTTACCTTCGTACTGTTCGGCATTTGATATTGAATGTCTTCACAATGCTGGATGCTGCAATAACATAGTGGCTAGATTTTCACCTGCTGGCCGGAAGGTCTTAGGTTCAAATCCGCATTGAGGCAGAAAAGACCTTGGTTCCTAGGTCAGGTCATCCTAAAATGGTGACATTTTCAGAAGTGAAAGCATGCAGCATGATGTTGACCACATAACCTGCCAGGTGCTGATTGGTCTATAAAACTGTGAGTCTAATATGATATGCCAGATACACATTTGGCATAAAATGGGTTTTTTTTCTTTCTACTAGCCATGCTATTTGAGATTTTTGTGATTTCTTTACAATACTGTTTGTCTTACTGTGGTTTTTAAATTTTGTTTTGTTTACAATACTATTCAACTACTTGTGTTTTCTTCACACAATTAATTGATTTCTTATCATTTCATCAGAATACTCTTTTATTTTTTCTGAATTCTATTTAAATTTGTTCATAATGCTGTTTGACTTTTGTGATTTCTTCAGAATGCTGTTTCAAGTTATAGTGGCTTTCTTGCTGCATAGTTTGAATAACTTAATTGAATGTCTGTGAATTTTCGTGTAAATTTGTTAAACTAATGACAGTTTTTCAGTTCAGGAAGGTTACAGTTCTTGTTACACTAATTATTCAGTTGTATTTGTGCCATTTTAATTGGATATTCTTCTGTGATATGGTGGACAAATTCTACCTGTCGGGAAGTTTCCTTTGCTTGTCTGCCTGAACAGCCGATTGCTGTATTGATGAACTGTTTATTGAAATTATTGGAGAAAAACATTTTGTTATGTCAATCCGTGCGTTGTTTGTGGCACCCGGTTTTGGGAGGGGGAAACAAATAGACCCACGGCTTCTTAACCGGTGTGTGGTTCTTCTTCTTCTTCTTCTTCTTCTTCACTTCCTCTTTTACCGCTGTGGGTGTCGAGGGAGATTTAAGGTTCTGTTTCTAGCTCTTCTGGCTGCCTCAACCATAGGCACATCGTGCTGTTGTAGAGTTTCTCTGATGTTATCCTTCCATCTTGTTCTTGGTCTACCCCGTGCTCTACGTCCTTCTTCTCTTTCCATGTATGCTTTGTATGGTATGGGGTGTGTGGTTAAAGGCGACTAATTAAGGCATTGTTGAAAGTTTATGTTTTGGACCAAACGTCGCAGA